AGAGCCTGAGGCCTGCAAGGCAAGTTCTCTACCACCCAGTCCTGACCTGTTTCTTTCTCTTCCTCTTTTCTCCCCAGTGCTGGGAATCCAACCCAGGGCCTCGAAGGTGCCAGGCACGTCTCTGTCACTGAGCCATGTCCCCAGTTCTTGTTTATTGTCTCTCTTCCCTTACAGCGCAGCTTTACACAGGTAGGATGTTTGTCTGTTCTTTTTTTTTTAAATCTCATTCCTTGTCCCAGAACAAACACTTGTTGAGTGAGTGATCAAATGAATATTAGCCGTTAATGCAAACAGTGTAACTATTATTACTAGTATTGCAAATGCTGCCACCTTGTTAACAGTAAAGCAGGGACTATTATTACTCCAATTCACACAATTATTGTAAGAACCCCCCCCCCCACACCCGCCGTCCCCGCCCCAAGCAAAATCTTAGGAAAACTGCACTTGCTGTTTTTGGTGGTGGGCTTTGCCTCCCCTTAGTGGTGATCTTCAGCAACTGCAAGCCACACACAAAATGCGCTCCAAGATGGACCCTGCAAAGGGGCCATAAGCCCACTTTTGTTTTCAGTGGGACTGGGGTTTGAACTCATGGTTTCATGCTTGTAAAGCAGGCTCTCTACCACCTCAATCACACCTCCGGCCCATATTTTTCTGATTATTTTGGAGACGGGGATCTCATGATCTATTTGCCATGCTGGCTTCCAACGGTGACCCTCAGCCTCCGAAGTGGCTAGGATTACAGGCGTGAGCCACCAGCTCCGCTCACCTTTGGGTTTCTGTGGAGGCTTCGTTACACGAGCATGCTGGTTATCACACCGTGGACATTGATGGAGGTCAGGGGACATCTGAAACTCACAGCCTGTCTCATGGTTGGCTCCCTGGGCAACAGGCCCAACTGAGGTCGTGTCACTTTGAGGGCTCCCATGTGCTAATTGGAGGTGCATTTTTGTTATAAATCACAGTGTCCCAGCCCCTACCTATGGAAGGGACAAACAAGAAGCAGGTTAATGAAAAGCCTAACGTGGCTCAGTGACAGCTGAGAGGGTAAGTGAAGCAGCTGTTGTGGTGTGAGGCAGAGGGGCTCCTTGAGGCTGGCTGTCTAGTGGAGACCAGAATGGCAGCACAGGAGCCAGCAAAGTGACATCTGGAAGGAAAAGCCAACCCCAGTGGGAGAGGCAGTGCAAAGGCCCAGAGGCAGAAGAGTTTGGCCTGGTGTAGCTGTTTGTTCAAAGAGCCCAGAGTGGGGACTGAGCCCACAGCGCCCCAGGCCAGGAAAGTGGGTTTGAACACTGCTCTGAGCACAGCAGGAAACCACAAGAGGGCTTAAATGCAGCTGTAAAGTATCATGTGCCCTAATTATTTGCATATTACAGGTACTTACTGGTTTACTGTCTTCACTAGAACATTGTGAAACATTGACCACTAGTGCAGAGGTTTAAAAAAATGACTGTGAGCTAAAACACTACCACGAGCCCCAGCAAGTGCACTTGGGATATTTATCCCACAAACCGAGAACCTTTGTCCACACAAAACCGTACCTGAGTCTCCATGGCTGCTTTCTGAGAGCCAGAACCTGGAAGTGACAGTGTCCTCCACAGGTGCCCATCTGGACAAGCTGGGATACTGCACTCAGTAGGAGACGATACAAGCTCCTGGCAACGACAGCCTTGGCCTTGGTCTGTTTTCTGCACCTCTAACAGAAACACTACAGCCAGTAACCTCGGACAACTCAGGTTGACTTGACTCATGGTCCTGGAGGCTGGGAGGTGCCAGCCACGGTGTGGACATATGGTGAGGCCATTCCATGATGTAAGGAGGAAGGACCAAAAAGCACAGAGAGGGGAAAGGGGGACCCACCTCACCCCTTTTATACTAACCCCTCCTGCCACAGCCTTAATCCACTCACCATGACCTAATCACCACTTCTAGGTCCCACTTCTTAAGATGGTCACACAGCCTTACGTTTGAGAGGGGACAGCCAAACCACAGCAGGTCCTGAAGGCATTTATCCTGGGTGAAGCAGGTCAACCTCCATGGTCATATACCATAGGATTCCATGTACACAACCTCCAAATGTTAGAATTCCAGAGTGGAGAACAGATGGCAGCCGGCGTTAGAGACAGTGGCTCAGTGTGCCTGTGACGTCTGTGGGAGTTAGCTTGTCTTGTCACTGTGCTCACACAGTCCTTGAAAGGGCAAGGACTCCCACATCACTCCTATGTCATTTACTGGTTTTGATATTTTACTTTAGTCTGGTAAGTTGTAACCTCAGGGGAATGGCTGGGGGGTGCATGGGCCTCTTTGACCTGCCTTGGCTTCTTCCTATGAATCTTAAGTTTCCAAAGCAAAAGTTCAGAAAAAACTGCCATGGGCCCAACCAGCATGGCAGAGCTAAGGGATGGCTTGGTGTCCTAGCCAATAGTTGGTGACCCCCTGCTTCAAGGCACTGGGCTTCTCATTCTTGACCTTCTGGTTTCATTTCCCTGGTTCAAGGGCCAGTGACAGGTCAGGGACAAGGTGAGTATACCACCTGGTTTGTGATATTCTTCCTATCAGAAACAGCAGGTGGAAACAGTGTTTGGTGTGTCTTCCATTTGTCTTCTACTGCTAGGTCAGATTTCCATAGACACAGAGCACTCTGATTCTGTGTCCATGGCCTGAGGCCTCGGTACAGCCAGGGCTTCTCTGCTCAGGGTCTCACAAGGCTGAAGCCAGGCACTGGCCACAGCTCAGCTCATTGAAGGCTCAGGTCCTCTTCCCAGACCCTGGCCATTGGTGGTGTGACAGACAAGAGCCCTGTTTTCTTTCTAGCTGTAGACTGGGGACCACTTGGATCCTAGAGTCTGTCCTTGGAACCTGTTGTCTCACGACAGTAGAGCTTCCTTCCTCAGGGCCAGTAGGGGCATCATACATGACACAGCACCATCACAAAAGTGACTATGCCATCATGCCTCCAGCTCACCACACTCAAGAAAGATTATATAGGGCATGTCACTGGGGCTCACCTTAGCATGAGTGAGGGGTTGGCCAACTTTGCCTGAAAGGGCCAGCTAGCCCTTTTTAGCTCTGTGGGCAAACTGGTTCTGTCATAATAATTCAGTCCACATTGGTGAACCAATATGGCTAGCAATGAGCTGGAAATTAACTGGGATGGCTGGGCTCCAGTAAAAATGTATGGACACTGAAATTGGAATTTCATGTCATGAAATATTACTCAGATTTGGTTTTTTTCAAAACACACACACACACACACACACACACACACACACACACATACACGGTCATTAGGCTGGATCTAGCCTGTGAGCTGTAGCTTGCCAGCCACTGGTCTAAGTCCACTGATTAAGTGGGGACCATCTAACCCCCACCACACTGATGTCACCCAGTAACACCCACCCAAGGTTTTTTCCTACTTGGATTTCTTCAGTGTGTGCTTGAACACAACTCACACACTCTTGTTTGCTGGAGAATACTCAGAATTCAGAAGACAAAAGGGTAATCTCAGTTCCATTTTCCCAGCCTGAAAGCCGAGAGTTAAGACAAAAACCAGTGTTTAAGGACACTGTTAAACAACAGAGTAACCGTGACGAAAGGAAAAGATAGCAGCTTCCACCCCAGCAAGTCTGACTCCCACGGACAGGGAAAATCCATGCAGAACAGATCCCAACGTGTTGTTTGGACATTGGCAGTGAACTTTGTGGCTGGGAAGGAGATGGTGGAGACCCAGGACTCCTCAGCCAGGGCACAGCAGTGTGGACTCAGGTGGAGAAAAGAGGATTTCTGTGACACCCACAGCTGCCCCCTCCCTAGGCCTGCTCAGGCGTGTCTAATTAAACTCTCAGGTTGACCTAGGTGACGGAAGGTAGGCCCAGGAGCAGTAACTGAGTTTAAAGGACTCAGGTAAGTATAGGATCAGCCACACCAATGTGGCAGAATAGCTATATTCATAGTATTATAAAGAACATATCAACCAATCTGGAAACCCTGGTTAGCTCATCTGTATCCCAAATGTGGAAAGCGTGAGTGGCTTCTTTTTCCAGACAGGGTGTTGTTATGTAGCCCAGGCTGGCCTGACTCAGTTTCCTGAGTGCTGGGATTCCAAGTGTGCACACGCCAGCTGTTTCCTTGTTTTCTTAATCCAGTTATAGACATATGTAACTGATATTTTGGTGGAGAAAAAGCCAATACCTGGAATTTGTGGGTTGGAATGAGTAAAAGGACTGCTCCAGTGGTAAGATAAGCAAATAATTCTAGAATACACCTTCCTGACTGAATCATCTTATTTTTAACCCCACCACTAAAGTTGTCCTTTGTAATGTAATCAGTCATTAAGAACCACTTTCCTATTTTGCAAATCTGTAAAGAAGAAACCAAGCAGGGCACTGGTATCTCACTGCAGTAATTGTAGCTACTTGGGAGTCTGAAATCGGGAGGATCACAGTTCCAGTCCAGCCCAGGCAAAAAAGTTTGAGCCTCCCATCTCAAAGGAAAAAACTGGGTGTAGGGGTACATGCCTGTCATCTCAGCTACTGTAGGAAGCCTAATATAAGTGAATCACAGTCCAGGCCGGCCTGGGCAAAAAGCAAGATCCTATTTCCAAAATAACCAGAGACAAAAGGGCAGGACGTATGGCTCAACTGGTGGAGTGCCTGCCTAGCAAGTGTAAAGTTCTGAGTTCAAGTCCCTGTACAACGAAAAAAAAAAGAGAGAGAGAGAGAAGAAACCAAGAATATCAACGAAAATGAGGTCAGTGTCTACATGTCTACATCTAGCCCTATCGCCCATGTCATCATGCACCATTAGGGAGCCTTCAGTCCCCTCTCATCACCCACAGCATGGGGAAGTGGGAAAGTGCTGTGGCTACTGGGTCTCACCTTCATTTCTTCTTCTAGTTAAGGGAAAAGAGAGACCTCACGTGTGGGGTTTGTCCTCAGAATAGCTTTATTAGTTTGGATACTGTTTGTCAGCACCCGACTTTCTCTCTATTACTTTGACGCACAAATCCACTCACTCAGACTCCTCTTCTCCCCAGATCTCGTAGATGGTGATGTTATTGTGTGGGTCTGCAGGCATCTCTGCGCTTTGCAGCTTGAGGGTGCTGCCAGTTGCCATGGTGTCTTTAAGATTCCGAACCCTGGACAAAAATTTCACCAGGTCCATCTCGAGCTGGGTTAGGGTATTGAATGCATACTCTTTGTTGGGGGAAGCATTTTGGTTTTTCTTTAGTGGAGAGCGAAACTGACAGCCTCGAAGGCTGGTAGCACTCTGCTCCTGTCAAGAAAGATACTCAGCTGGCTCAAAAGACCAAAAATCGTATGTTCTCCCTCATATGTGGACATTAGATCAAGGGCAAACACAACAAGGGGATTGGACTATGAGCACATGATAAAAGCGAGAACACACAAGGGAGGGGTGAGGATAGGTAAGACACCTAAAAAACTAGCTAGCATTTGTTGCCCTTAATGCAGAGAAACTAAAGCAGATACCTTAAAGCAACTGAGGCCAATAGGAAAAGGGGACCAGGAACTAGAGAAAAGGTTAGATTAAAAAGAATTAACCTAGAAGGTAACACCCACGCACAGGAAATCAATGTGAGTCAATGCCCTGTATAGCTATCCTTATCTCAACCAGCAAAACCCCTTGTTCCTTCCTATTATTGCTTATACTCTCTCTACAACAAAATTAGAGATAAGGGCAAAATAGTTTCTGCTGGGTATTGAGGGGGGAGCGGGAGGGGGTGGAGTGGGTGGTAAGGGAGGGGGTGGGGGCAGGGGGGAGAAATAAACCAAGCCTTGTATGCACATGCACATATGAATAATAAAAGAAAAATGAAAAAAAAAAAAAAAAAAAAAGAAAGATACTCAGGGTAACTGTCAACTTCAGCGTTTTTTTTTTTTTCCTGATGGTACTCAGGCCTTTCCCTTGCCAGGCAGGTGCTCTACCATTTGAGGCATTCCACCAGCCCTTTTATGTGTTACGTATCTTCAAGACAGGGTTTCACAAACTATTTGCCCAGGCTGGCCTCGAACTGTGAACCTCCTGATCTCTGCCTTCTGAATAGCTAGGATTATAGGCACGAGCCACTGGCACCCAATGACTTCACTGGTTTTGACACAGTTCCAAGTGATGTGTTCATCTACGAGAACAGTTCTAGCATTGCTTTAGACCAGGCACTGGGAAAATGGGCAAACCTGGCCTCCTACATGCTTTTTGTAATTGAAGTTTTATGGAACATGGCCAAGCTTTCATTTGCATATTAGCTTTCAGACTGTAACTGCAGAACTGAGTAGGTGCCCGCATCTGAAAATATTTACTACCTGGCCCTTTGTGGGAAGTTTGCCAACCCACTTTAGTTAGGGTGGACACAGAATCCTGAAGTGTGGGGCCTGTCCAGGAGAGACCTTTTTCTCCTCTCCCTCTGAGTCATCTCATGCTGGGAACACCAGTTATTACTTTACACCTCTATCTCTTTAGCACGGGCCTCAGATTTCCTTTACTGGGGATAATGGTAACATTTCCATTGAGTTCAGAGACCTACAAAAAGTCAAATGCAGTGAAATTTAAAAATCAAGGGACAGTCTATGACCATAGTACCCTGAACGTGCCTGATCTTGTCTAAAAATGAAGGGACAGTGAGTCTGGCCTTATGAATAATTTTGGCCTGAAACATTCTGTAAGTTCTTGAAATCTATTCTCGGATTAAAAAATAAATTTACTTCACAGGAAAAACTGTGAGCCACATAACAGGTCATCTGCAACTGTCCCAACCTCTTGGCAGGTACTTTCAGCTCCAAGTTCAAATTCATGACACTCAACAGTCCTGCTGTTGGGTGGACCAGAACATGTTTCTCTGAGATTTGAGATGGAATCACCATGGTGTAAAAATGGAGCCTCCTTACCTTATTCCTCTCGCTATCCCCCCGAAACTTCAGCATCATATACAGCACAATAACGAACAAAAGCCAGAGCCATTTGCTCCCGAGCCAACCTTGGGCATGCTCTGGAAGATTCTGTCTAATCCGGAAGTGCCCTCCGCAAGGCACCTTCCCCTGGGGTTCTTTGGCTTTCTCCCTCAGTGAAGAAAACATGAAAGCATAGCCACAAGAGAGGCACAGAGGCAAGAACAGGAACCATCTCAGCACCCACATGGTGAGCAGAGGTAGGACAGGAAGCTGCTCATGGTGGGTCTGTCTGCCTGCTGCTGGGTGCTGGTGATGTCACAGAGGACTCTGGGCCGCCAGCCCCTGCCATTGTGATGCCTTCATGCTGGAGGAGACCGAGGCTCACAGAGGTAGCCTGGAAGCAGGACTTCAAGGGAGAAACTTCATAAGGCAGTAAAAAAAGAGGAAGGGAGTAAGGAGAAGCCTGCTCCATGCTGGCTGCACATTCCTGAGCCAGCGCTCTTTTGGGAGAGGCCATCACCTATTTGCTTACATTTATTTGATGCAGACATTGTGGTGAACAGCAGACACAATGCGCCCTCTGGAGCTGAGCCCCAGGGAAAGAGGGATAGCGACAACAGGGTACAATTAAGGGCCACTGATGGGTTTGGTTCCACCTCTATTATTCTAAAAACAGTCCAGGGAGGGGTACACTTCACATAGCAACTGTAGATTTCTGGCTGGCTTTGAAAACACAAAAGCTTAGGGAGCACTGCAGAGCAGGTGGCACCCCTTTGGTGGTCACATTTTGAATTCAGTCCCCACCACACCCTCAGACACACACAGCACTGCCTCACAAGAGTGCACCATCCCTGGGAGGGCTGAGTTTCTCTTACTGAGCTGGGATGTAGCTCAGTGGTAGAGTGCTTGAATAGCATGCAAGAGGCCTTGGGTTTTCTCCCCACCACAACCAAAAAAAGAAAAAAGTATCACTGTCAGGTGTGGTGGTACATGCCTATAATCCCAGCACTCTGGAACCTGAGGCTTCACAAGGCAAGCCAAAATTTCAAAAATATTAAAATGGTGACAAGAGTAGAAGGGGACTACACTAATTAGGTTCTGTAAGAGGACTTTTTGGAAGACGTGGATACAGCTTGAGAGACAGGAGGTGGCTGGGTGCATGAAGACCCCAAGATGAGGACACAGCCTGATGGCAGCCAAGCCAAAGCCACAAACAATCCAAGAACTCGCTGACCAGTGTATCTGAAACCAGCAGTTTGTAGAAATGACATGAAACAAGACATGGTCAGTGGGACACAAGGCTCCTACCGGTTCCCCTAGGTCAAATCTGCAGTCTTCTTAGAGGGACCTTGTTCAGACCAACCCCAGGCATGACTTTGTGCTGACCAGTGTACACTGGGCACCTCACAGTGCCTCTGCCTGTGCTGTGCTCTGGCGTAACACAGAGATCCTATACTCCTTTGTGATCCCAAGGGACAGCATTGAAAAGCATTCATGGCTCTCCCACGTGCACAGCCATCAGCATTGAGGTGGGCCTCCTGCTAGAGACATCTGAGCAGGACCCAGAGAGATGGAAGTCCCTAAGGATTAATTAGAAACTGGACCTAATGTCACATGAACCGGTCCCCCCTGACAGCCGCTACTTCTGAGTGCCATTTGAGAAGCAGTTGGCCCGGTGGGTATCCATGGCCCTGGGCCAGGGAACACCATGGATTCTATTTGGAGACTTGTCTATGGCAGAATGCCGTCCCTGGCCCCTGCTCTCTGCTGATGGGTCTCAAAGCTTCTGTGGGAAGCCGTTGTATCTCCCCATAAAGGGTGATGGCCATTGTCCCACCTCCCTGGGCTGGTAGTGAGACCCATAAGGTGGGCCGACTGAGTGGCTGATTCTTTAGGTGGCCTGAGAACAGGTGAGCCATTAGCCTTCTGAGCTATGACCTTTCTCCCCTCCCCTGGTGGATCAAGGTGTGGTGCTGGGTGCCCTGAGGAGGCACAGACAGCAGATGCATGGTTCTCCTCTCATGTGGGGTAGCAGCTGCCCTGGTCTGCCTTTGGCACACACTGATTGGGTCACTGGAAAAAGTGAGCACAGTCTAAACTGTCAATGCAAAATAAAATTAGGCTAAAATCAAGAAAACTGAAATTGGAGCCAGGTATGGTGGGACACACCTGTAGTCCCAGCAGAGGCTGGAGGCCAGCCTGGGCAACATAGTAAGACCCTGTCTCAAAAGAAATAAACAACTTCTGTAGTCACCAGGTGGACATGTCTACAATGCTGAGCTTCCTGTGCTCTCCCTGGGGCCCACTAATGCTCACCTGCTCGCCTCCCCCTCAGTGCCTTTTCTTGGCATCAAGACCCTATGATGCAGTGCTGAACCCAGGACACACGCGTTCTTCACCAGCAGTCTCGTGGGAAGCCCCAGGCTACAGATCGTGAGCTCCCTTTACGCCCTGTTGAGGGAGGGAAGGTAGCACTCCCACTTGTTCAGGGAGTGGCTCCAATCACCATCCACACAATGGTCAAAACACAAGGGGACAGGAAAGCAAGGACAGAAGTACAGGCAGATGCGAGAATATGCAGATGTGCTTTATTCTGTAGTGGACCATGAGGTGCCCAGCTCACCTGAGTGCTCTTCAGAACACTAAGGTGGGAAGCCTCTGCTCAGTGCCAGACAACAGGCCCCAGCCCTTCCAGGGCTGGTGAGAGGGCTGCCACCCTCAGAGACCTCAGCAGGTGACCTGTGTGAGCTCGGTCCTCTCTGAGCTTGGTGTCACTGGCTTGACCTCACTGAAGTGAGCTGAATATACCATGAGGAACTGAGTCTCACTACTGAAGCATAAGGAGCACCGTCAAGCACACTGGGGGTGGAAGTGTGTGTGGACGCAGCCGTGCAACAGGCTGACGGTCACACTGTGTACCACCTCCATCCTCCCCAACCCACATGCCTCACAACAAGGGACTGCGCTGGCTCGAGGGTAGTGAGAACAGCTTTATAACCTTGTGAGATGGACTCCCACAGACTACATGGCACCCAGGACCACAGCAAGGAGGCTGGGGAGATGCAGGCTGCACCTCAGAAGCAATAGGATGTGTGAGTGACCCAGTGGGCTGACTCCTCCTTGGAGCGTTTGGCGGAGCTGTGAGTTGTGAAAAGGGACTTGTAGGTTTCAGATTCCTCGCTGTCAGCGATGGACCGCTTCACAGCTCCGCATACAGGCTTCCCAGCCTTCCCAGCAGAGCTCCCGTTAGTTGCTAGAAAAACAAAGAGCCAAAACATTTAGGCTGTGACTAAAGACTGTCCCAAATACCAAATTCCTAAAGAACATGCCAGCCCACCTTCCACCCTCCTTTCTGGGAGGAGTGGTGAAGTCCACACTTGTAGCTGGCATCTCCCAAAACCAGACAGAGCTCCCACCATGTAATGTCCTGTGGCCACTACTCGCTGGGCCTAAGCCTGACTCTTGTCCTATGAATGCTCAGGTTGATTGCCTGGCCCTCCAAGGCAGACATGCGCAGAAGAACACAGAGGCCTTGGAAGCCTGTGTGGCCACCCGGCCAGGCTACTATCCTAAGCTGAGCCAGGATGACACCTGCTAGCCACTGTGTGTGCTCTGCATAAAACACAATTCTAACTTTGTTCACCTGCTGGGCCTGTTGTTTTTATGAACTAAATGCCCTTTTCTTTGAGGCAAAGATAGTGAGATAGCTTCAGAAGCTCTGACACCTGGTCAAGAGGCAGGTGGAGAGAAAGGCCTGAGTGGCGCACATGGAGCCAGCTGTTGGGAAATCAGGAACGCTCCTGACAATGTTCTGAGCTGTGTCCACACGGCAGTCCCACCAGGGCTCCTGGTCAGCAGTAAGCTGACTTCTCTACCAACACGACATGGAACTAGTCTGAGCTTCCTCATTCGCTCCATAAAACCCTGATGTGACCTCAGGGCTTCCAGCTTCCCAACATCTCTGGAGCCCACCTGCACTTCTGGGAGCCAAGGCTGTCTTCTTCTCTCTGGAGTCAGTGCCGCTCTCCTCAGGCCTGCTTGCCTTCACTTCTGATGGCCCTGGGGATTCTGTAAGAGAAAGCAGCAAAACAAAAACCAATTAAACCAAAGTAAAAGCTCATTTAGGAGCAGCCTTGCAGTGTCCTAAATACCAACCTTTTAGAGTTCTCCCTTCAGTGACTCCTGGTTTTGAAGCAGATTCTGATGCCTTCGGCTTCTTTGTTTTCTGGAAGAGAAAAAAACGCCATTGGAGGCTGCGCTCAGACTCAGCCTTTTTGACAAGAGTGATGCACTTGAGTAAGGCATGCTCACTCCAAAGTCGAGGGACTGCCCTTGAACTCTGAACCCAAATCCTCCACAAGTGTCAGCCATTACACACTGTGACTAACAGGGATGTGACCATATACTACTTAGTTTTCTATTTATATTCTGAATTCATATTCTCAAATGTCTTAAATGAAGACAACATATTTCAGTGATCAGTTATATCAACACTGACTACTGAACGTGAAAAACGTCAAAAATGAATGGCATAAACTACATATATATATATAGTTTTTCTATATATGGCTGTATCTATATGGCCGTGTGTATACAGGGCCATGTGAAGTCTAGCCAGCCTAAACAAGGAATTCGTTTTCGAAGTTGTCAAGCTGCCTTAATATGTGTTTATTTACCTGTAAGGCTTAAAGATTTAAGAACATTTTAGCTAATTCTAAACTCTGGATTACTTATTAGCTTTTTAGGCACTAGAATTTTGTTATAATAGCTAATTGGTCAGCAAGAATTAAAATTACACCACTGTATTTGCACAGATTCAATTGCAGACACAACAAATAGGACTGTTCAATTTACTTTAAAATGTATTCTCTTAAATACCCAAGAGGTTGTGCTAAAGACACAGCCTAATTATTTCAGAAGTCCCCCATCTCTAACACTGAAGAAACAGCCCTTTCTCAGGCAACTTGTGCCTTCAACTTGTGCTATACACACAATGTGACTTATAATGCTTGACAAAGCAAAAAAACCTGTTCATTTCACACCTGCAACACAGGCATGCAAATCTGTGAGGGTTGATACTCTGGTCCTTCAAAAAACCCAGACAACTGCTCATTGCTAAGCCCTGTATCCGCAGCATCGAGAGGACAATAGGGAGGCAAAAGAGGAAGTGTTATGTCCGCTTCCAGCTGCGAGCACATTTGGGAGATATTTTGTATCTTGGTAGCAGTATCCAAGAGGATTCATGCAGGCCCCAGTGAGTTATTTTGCAGAGGGGCACGTTAGCTCCACTGGGCAATGAACAACTTCGCAGGAAGCCTGTGACACAAAATGTGCTATAGAAAAATGGTCTAATCGATGGGAGAATCTCCAGAAGCTTCCTCTGAAGCTTCTGACTTTCCCTTTCCCTTTCCCTTTCGTGGTTTTGGGTAGCAATGAAGAAAAAGCAGATAGATCCCTTTGGCAAATGTCTTTTGTCAAAGACACTTGGAGGTTTTTCTCTTTTTCACTCTTAGGATGATGAAATCAGAATGACTTAGAAAAGCAACACACATGTATTTGATTTTTAACCTTAACACAGCCCCTAAATGGACAGTGGCTCTTTAGGTATTTCTCAAGAAAGCCGATCAGCATCTTATAAAGGTGCTTCACAGAGCATTTGCACTGGCATTTGACTCCAAGGTCTGGCACCATTCCTTGTACCACAGAACCATGTATATGCATTATTTCTCCATGTGTAAACGCCAATGGACCTGGCTGTCTGACAATTCTAGGCCCATGGGTGGTACTAACACTGCTCCCATATGCTCCATCATCAGCTTTTTAAAGCCTCACAACCATGAATTATGTATTACTCCAGGGTGACACGGTCCTGCCCTTTCTTCTATGACTAAAAAGGAAAAAAGAAAGCTCTGAAAAACAGTACATCCATGGCACCACCCCCTCCTTGGAGGGCACTGCTTAGGATATTGTTTTCTTTTTTGAGGTGACTTGATTATTGAACCCAGGACCTTGTGTATGCCTATTTTATTTTATTTGTAGCTCAAGATGGCCTCCAACTCTCTATGTAGCCCAGGCTGGCCTCAAACTTGTAGTCTTCCTGATTCTGTCTCCCAATTGCTGGGATTAGTTTTGATCACACAACATTTTCTCCCAACCCAATCTTTTTACAAAGAACAAAAATTAACCACTCACAAAAAGAGCTGCAATAACAGCTAATATGTACACCCATTTAATCATAAAATGTGCTGCTGGACTCAGAATCCGTGGCCCAGTGAATGGTTTCTTAACTGACTGTTGAACCTACTCATTAAGTCCTCTGCAGTATGGTTCCCACCCCAGGACCAAGAGACAAGGCCTTACCATCACATGTCCTCAGATTGGTGGGATAAAGGCTGTGTGAGGCTGGACCCCTTCTGGAGCTGGAGCTGCATTAACCATAGCAGACTCCCAGGCAAGGCTTGGGAAGTCGAGGTGATGCAGTCCTCAACAGCCACAACTCCCACCCCGGAAGCAAGACAGAAGCAGGCTCCAGGGACCCACAGGCCTGGTGGAGTCAGGCTGCAGGTAACTGTGCACATTCAGACCTGGGCAGCGTGGAGCCCTCCAATTGGCTGGGGTGATGGCAGCCTTTTGCTCTTCCTTTGTCTTACAAGTCATGAAAACTGAGTATGTGTTCTTTTAAGGTCAGCAACAGTGACAGCAATGGCAGTCACCTTTCCCCTGAGGGCTCACGATGGCCGCAGTTTATTCAAGAGCTTTACCAGCATGATCTCTGACATCCTCCTGCAGCCCCCATGTCCTGTGTGGGTGCTGTCCACATAGGAAGCTGAGCATAGACAAGCAGAGCCATGCCTGACGCAGGCAGGCTGTGGAGGAACCACACCTGAAATTGGTTCCAAAGCCCAGGCCTCCCAGGGTCCTGAGAATCACCACAATCACTGTGCACCCACAGCAGGGCTGCCAGCGCAGCTCAGTGGCTTGTGATGGACCCTGAAGCAGAGGAGGAGGTTGGCAGGGTCTGCAGGCCAACCTCTGCCCAAGACTCTGAAGGGGAGGGCAGAAGCAAAGCCTCCCGCTCATTACCTTCTCCAGCTTCGCTCGCAGCCGTCTGTCCTCCATCTTGTTCTTCAGTATCTCCACATCCTCCTTAGTACCATTGAGCACAATGACATCATCCTCCTGGAAGGCAGTCCCACACTGGAGGGCCAAAAAAGACATGGTCTGTCACAAAGACAGGGAAGGCCTGAAGCTCCCCCACTCAGCCCCAGCCTCCAGCCCATGCTAAGTGCTTGCATCCTGGCTTTGCCAGTTATCAGATCTAGGCCCCGGCCCTGGAGGTCCCTGTGCCCAGCCACCTGACAGCTCTGCTTTGGAAGGACCTGCCATCTGTGAACTGAGACTCTGGGATGGTCCCACATTTCTCAACTGACAAGCATAGCACCCAATGCCTAGGCTTTCTGCAAACACTGAGGTTCATTATGAGCACCTTCCTTCTTTCTGGGAGTCTGGAAAGTTTGGAATGTGCTAGGCAGAGGGTGCACAACCAGCCCCTAGCAAAGACCCAGGGCAATCTCTGGTGGACTTCTCTGGACACAAATGTGGCCTGGATATGGTGGTAGCAGGGGCTCTGCAAGAGCCCTTGCAGAGGGGAGCAGCATAAGTAGCCTCACTTGGATTCTCTCAGACGACCACCTGTGTTTGATCCCTTACCATCCCACTATGTATCCTTTTCTTTTTCACTTTTTAAATTATTCATTTATTCACATGTGTGTACATTGTTTGGTCATTTCATTTTTTTTGGTGGTGGCGGTACTAGGGTTTGAACTCAGGGCTTTGCACTTGCTTAGGAAGGGGCTCTACTGAGCCATACCTTCCCCATAAGCCCTTGTCACATCACTGCAATGGGTCTTAGTTGAGAGCTCAAGTATCTGCCAACTCCTACCAGTCCTTTTAGAAAATTCCAAGTAAAAAAGGTGTTCTTAGGGACCCCAAACACACCTTGGCAGAACAAGACTGTGAGCACCCCACAGTGTCCCAGCAGCAAGAACAGATATCAGGCTGTTTCTGACACAGATATGTCCACGCTCACAGATCTGTCATGCGTAAGCCACCTCAGAGGCCACTCGGTAGAGTATTCACACAATGAATACTCGACATCCCCCACGAGATCCCAGCACTCCGCTTCTGACCACAACACAGGCCCGACAGATCAGATCTGAAACCAGTCTTCATGCTGTCTGTCCTGTTCCCACTGCCATGGCTATGGCATCATGCCCAGTGCCTGGTGTGTGGCAGGGACCCTTACACGAGGGCTGGGACAGATAAGATAGAGAGAGAGAGGCAGGGTTCCCTTCCTGTACTTGGAATTGAGGATTCTGCTCTGATCCGTTCACCCACTCCACCTCAGTCTGGTTCCTCAGCTAACTGTCCTGGGAGCTCCTCACCCACGGTGGCTCTGCTCAGGGGACACAATATCACACCCGATGGCAGAACACTTGAATATGAGGTCTTGCCTATCAAGTACAAGGCCCTGAATTCAAACCCCAGAACCACCAAAAAAAAAAAAAAGGAAAAGAAGTATTTAAAAATCCCACTGCATTCATACTGCCTTTTGTAAATTAGAAATAGGCCATCTGTCCATTTCATCTATCAGGGCTTTCATTTCATTTTAATTAATCCATTTAAAATTATACATGAAACCTATTTACCCTTTGTCCATTTATTGCAAGTTTCTCCAGGATGTCTTGAGTTTGGTGCTGGCACTTTCCTCAGCACTATAGAAGAACAGCAATTGCAATTCCTTAGCTGGTTCTTCCACTGTTATTTCACTTAGAAAGTTTCCTTTCTTCCAGGTATGGGAGGTAAGGTAACAGGTCCCAATATTCCCCCTCTTAGAAATGGGCTGGTAAGTACAGAGCTCCTTGGTCCAGTTCAGTAGCATGTTTTTTTTTTTTTAACACACACTCAGGGTACAGGGGACACAGTTGCAGCAAGACTTCACAAGCTGGCAGTATGGCTTTTCCATACATAAAAGGACTCTTCATCTTGTATGATTCTTGCTAGATAAAATTAGAACCTCAACTGGCCAGGTGCTGGTGGCTCATACCTGTAATCCTAGCTACTTGGGAGGCTGAGATCAGGAGGATTACAGTTCAAGGCCAGCCTAGGCAAACAGTTCACCAGACCCTGTCTCCAAAATAACCAGAGCAAAAAAAAAAAAAAAATGAACTTGAGGTATGGTTCAAGTGGAAGAGCATCTGCTTTGCAAGCTTGAAGCCCTACGTTCAACCTCCAGTCTCACCACCACTAACAAAATTTAGAACCTCAAACTACAGAGCTCAAATGTCTCCACAGGATCGATCATCAGTTACACTGGCTGTCACTCCTGAAAGGCCTTAAGATCACGCAGACCATGCAGATTTGATAAATCTGCTCAGAGAAGACATCTTTCTATGGTGACTGTACTATCCATCCTCCAAAAATCACTCCACCATTAGGTGAAGACAATCTGTACCCATCTGACTAGACATCCAGTGTGGGCTACATATGGAGGGAATGACACACCTCTGTGCTGTGAGAGCTGTGTCTTTTTTGCTGTGGTGCTGAGGTTTGAATCCAGAGCCTGGCACACATTGGGCAAGCACTTTCCTACTGAGGTCCGCCTCTTGTCCTGCTGGCGTGACTTATGTCCCTTGGTTCACCATTCTTACAGCTCTGTCTATGGTGAGCCGAGGGAGTGCCCACACTGCACAGGACCTCTCAACACTTCTCACAGGACCTGAGAAGGGAAGCCAACTTGCTAAGTACTTGTTAAGAAGACAAGCACCCCAGGCAGAGAGGGGCAGAGGGAGGCCCACAGCAGGGGGAGGACCCGCCTCCACTGCACACTATGCTCCAAATACACTATGGTCCACTATGGTGGAGCTAGAGGAGACAGAGCAGCGCCAGGTCATCTGTGTCCCTGATACTGGCATTCCAGCTAGTCACACTGAAACGACCACATTTCCCCTACACTATTCTGGGAGAAATGTAATTTTAAGACGACTCATACTTATCCCTTTAATGGGGAGGATCAGATACTGAATTTTTGACACACCAATTTTTTAAAGTATTTCAAGAATGTGACCCATGAGCTGGGCATCGGTGGCTCCCATCTGGAACCCCAGCTACTTCGTAGGTGGAGATTGGGGGTTCAAGGTTAGCATGGGCAAAAAGTCTGCAAGACTCCCATCTCAACCAATTAAAAGTGGAGTGTGGTGGCACGCGCCTGTCATCCCAGCTACATGGAGGCACAAATATGAGGATTATGGTCCAAGACAACCCTGGCCAAAAAATAGAGAGAGAGATCCTATCTCCAAAATAATCAAAGCAAAAAGGCTGGGGATGTGGCCCAAGCAGTAACTGCCTTCACCTGGGCTGGCATTTTCTGGTGTGGTCCCATTTGTGTTTTTCAGCAGTGATCCAGTCCCCAAGAAATACTCAGAGAGGCAAAAACAGCAACGACTTTTCCATGTAAGCGTCAGAAGCAACGGCAATACTCTCCAGGGAGGCATGGCTGCACAGCCTGCCAGGCAGCTATGTGCAGCAAGAGCCAAGGCATGGAGCAGAAAAAAGAGGAGAGCGGGCCAGCCCTGGCCGCTGTCTTCACTCCCGCAGCGCAAGCAGCAGCTTCTGTAAGTGCTCCATCCTACACAGCATCACCACACTACACGGCTTAGGCCGTGTTATTATATTATTATTGATTCTTGAGACAGGGTCTTGCTATATAGCCCAAGGCTGGCCTCAAACTCATGACTCTCCTGCCTCAGCCTCTGGGGTGCTGGGATCACAGGCTGTGTCAGCACACCTGGCTGGTGGCATTATTTTTTATTTATTTATTTTTTTTTTCATTTTTCTTTTATTATTCATATGTGCATACAAGGCTTGGTTTATTTCTCCCCCCTGCCCCCACACCCTCCCTTATCACCCACTCCGCCCCCTCCCGCTCCCCCCCTCAATACCCAGCAGAAACTATTTTGCCCTTATCTCTAATTTTGTTGTAGAGAGAGTATAAGCAATAATAGGAAGGAACAAGGGGTTTTGCTGGTTGAGGTAAGGATAGCTATACAGGGCATTGACTCACATTGATTTCCTGTGCGTGTGTGTTACCTTCTAGGTTAATTCTTTTTAATCTAACCTTTTCTCTAGTTCCTGGTCCCCTTTTCCTATTGGCCTCAGTTGCTTTAAGGTATCTGCTTTAGTTTCTCTGCATTAAGGGCAACAAATGCTAGCTAGTTTTTTAGGTGTCTTACCTATCCTCACCCCTCCCTTGTGTGCTCTCGCTTTTATCATGTGCTCATTGTCCAATCCTTGTTGTGTTTGCCCTTGATCTAATGTCCACATATGAGGGAGAACATACGATTTTTGGTCTTTTGAGCCAGGCTAACCTCACTCAGAATGATGTTCTCCAATTCCATCCATTTACCAGCGAATGATAACATTTCATTCTTCTTCATGTCTGCATAAAATTCCATTGTGTATAGATACCACATTTTCTTAATCCATTCGTCTGTGCTGGGGCATCTTGGCTGTTTCCATAACTTGGCTATTGTGAATAGTGCCGCAATAAACATGGATGTGCAGGTGCCTCTGGAGTAACAGTCTTTTGGGTATATCCCCAAGAGTGGTATTGCTGGATCAAATGGTAGATCGATGTCCAGCTTTTTAAGTAGCCTCCAAATTTTTTTCCAGAGTGGTTGTACTAGTCTACATTCCCACCAACAGTGTAAGAGGGTTCCTTTTTCCCCGCATCCTCGCCAACACCTGTTGTTGGTGGTGTTGCTGATGATGGCTATTCTAACAGGGTTGAAGTAAAATGTGTTTTTCTTTACCTTCTCTATGGCCAGAATGCAATACTCAAATATCAGAAAAGAATGAAGTGCAGATTTGCAGGAATCTTTTTCTTTCAAAACAGTCTCTACTTTTTGGTTAAATCAAAGAAAAGTAGAATGTTTTCACAATGTCATATCAGTAAGAGTTTTAAATTTACAAAACCCTCGTGTTAATTCCTCACACGGGAAGCAGCAAGTAAGCCAGCCTCAAGGGCACACCCAAGCCTCTTTCAGCTGGGTGCCTTGATGAAAAGAAAACATGTGCTAGCTGTGACTGTTTTGAGTGGATAGCCTAAAGTGAAGTTTTGTTCTCTACATCAAAATGGCTAAAAACCATTTATACCTGTGGTAGGATAAGCACACTGTGACTAGGACATCCCCTTTACTGGGTAGTTGGAGCCTGAAAATTCACAATTAGCCCAGCTACCATGCCAAGCTGAACAGTTCAAGAGAACAGCCAATGTTCAAGGTGCTTTGATCATTCTGAGTCAGCAATGACAAAAAGAACAGCCAGGCCACTGATTCTGCGCACCTGCAGTGATTTCAGATTCACTTGGAGTAGGTGGCAGGAGCTCCGACATTCCTGGTCTGGGCTACCCTACTGCAGGGACTGAGAGCTGCTCAACGGTAGGGCTGGCAAGCTCTGGGCACTTCCTGAGGGCCAGGCTGCCCTCACCTCCCCAGTGTCACTAGGAGAAGGCATCATCTGCACCCATCTGCAGGGGAGAATGTGGAGACTCAGGAACTGAGTGCACTGACCCAGTCCACTCACAGTTGTGAGTCTGCACAGGCCCCGAGGCAAAGCCCACTCCCTCAACCTCCAAGCTAAGTGCTATACTCCCAACAAGGTAAATGCAACATGAGTAGCCCTGCTGGCTTTTTTTTTAAGTAAAGCTCTGAAAAACTTGATCTGGGTATTTAGTAAATTATTACTGCTGATTAATGTCAAACTATGTGACAAACGTATTCAATTCAGCTTTCTTTACTCACCTGAATTATCTTTAAAAGAAGCAAACTAAAGCAAAACAAAGCATGGAAAATTCAGTAAAAGAGTTAATGTCAGTGGAACTGTGCCAACTTCCCCACAAAGTCCTTTTAACATGTGAAATCCCATCAGAACCTATTCCACACAACTGCTCCAAAGCAAACTGTCCTGGGGTGACCGTGACAGCAAACCTGTAATGCTTTTGTTGTCCAGGCCTGCTGGGGGGTGGAGGGGACTGCACAGGGATGATGCCGCAGGCTCTAATTTGGATAAACTCCTTAGAGTATTTTATGTTGGACAAAGAACATAAAACAATTTCACTCTGAGAACTGTAAGGGAGAAAGTTACACTTTTTCCTCTGAATTGTTCCCACCGAAAGATGCTCTCTAATTTCTTAAATGTCACATGACTTCAGTCAGTTAAATGTCTAGTCTTTATGTTACTCACATTTGGAAGCTATTTAATTCTACTGCATACATACTGTTTTTAAACAATACTACTTTTCAAAGGCTGCAGATCTAGAGGACCAAAAGATTGAAGTACACCAGGCGGGGATGCATCTCAGTGGTAGAGCACCTGCCCAGCATGCATGAGATCCTGGGTCCAATCCTTAGTAAGAAAAAAAGAAAAGAAAAAGTACAGAAATCCCTTAAAAAGAAAACAAGTACACATGTCCTAGGAAAGATAATCTAAGAAATGACAGTGCATGAAGAGCCTTAAAATGCTCTCGAGCTCTAGAAATCATTTGTGACTCAGTAATATCCAAGGACACATGGCACAGGAATGAAACCTGGCTGGCCAAGAAACTTGGCATCTGCTCCATTCATACAAGGATAATGGCTACTCTTTCTAAAGCCTTTAAGTAAATAAACACTTAAACAGAACCTTCAGTGGAGGAAAACAACAGTTGGAAAAAATCAGTAAAGCCAGGTGCAGTGGCTTACACCTATAATCCCAGCTACTCGGGAGGACTAAGGTTTGAAGTTAACCCAAGCAAAAAGTTAGAGACCCCATCTGGGTTAGCTGGGTGTGGTGGTGCATGCCTGCCATCCCAGCTATGGACCACAGTCCAGGTTGGCCTGGGCAAAAAGACTCTATCCAAAAAATAACAAAAGCATGAGTGGCTGGGAGCATGGCTCAAGTGGTACGGCACTTGCCTAGCAAGTGTGAGGCCTAGAGTTCAAACCCCAGCACCACCACCAGCAACAACAACAACAAATCACTAAGATTACACTTTTTTGTTTTGAGACGGGTCATGCTAGGCAGCCCTCTTGCCTCAACCTCCCCAGTGCTGGTATTACAAGTGTATACCACCATACTTGGCTTCAAGACTGTGTTCTTTTTGGAGTGCACACTTCCCACAGTTGGACAAAACCACCTTCAGTTCTTGGAACTTAATTAGAGTTACATTTAATCAGCACACTTTCACTATATGGCTAAACGTGGACTTGATGGTCTAGAAAGAGCAAGTCAACCAAGAGCACAGGGAAATGTGTGTGAACCTGAACCCGGAGCTCGCAGCACTGTGCACTGTAAAGGAAGCTTGCCTGGCTTGAGGACTTGCCTCCCCACTGGGTGTCTCCTTACAGGGCGAGTGAGCACTACTTCTACCCACAGCAGCCGTTTCACAACGCCCGCCTGCTGGCTGCACAGAGCTTGCCTAAGATGACGGTGAAAGATGAACTGCTGGAGGCCCGAGCCATGGGGTTCAGCAGACATCATTCCAGCTTCAAAGCCAGCCTGAGTCGAAGCTAAGTGGTGACTGTCAGAGTGGTGCTGATAGCTGAGGTGGACAGGTGACAGGTGACACCTACAGAAGAGAGGGGAAACCTCTCAGCCCAGGTACCACCCTGAAGGACACAGGGCCACTCCAAGACTTGTCTTCATTTAATCACACAAACTGCTGAAAATACCCGGTACCCCAAGCTCACCAGCGCAGAGAGGGCCCTTCTTACACAGGGAAATGTGCCACATACAGCAGTCCTTAATGTTGTAAAAAGCTTTACTTTCATTTCACTTTAATAAGTGTCTCCTCCCACCCAATTTCTATTTTTATTGTGGAGGTTGTGTTTATTTTAGAAACCAGATATGAAGTGTGTAAATTACAATGAGCATTATGTTTATAAAGATAAGCATTAGCTATTCTGTACCATGTCTTTGAAAGTAGGCTACAAGGGTTGATGTTTGGGGCAATCAACAAACACTTACTGATCCCACATAAAACCTGAGATAACTGGGTAGCAGCTGCTTTTTATTTTTCAAGCTGTTGGGTGGAAGAAAGAGAACAATGAAAATAAGCATTTGAAAGTAGTTTTTATTGCCTCAAAATTTAAGAGTGGAAGGGTAACTAACTCAAAATGCTGCCTGGTCAGTACTTTATCCAAATACCATTTATAATAGAGATGTGGGAAGGCACCAATGTCAAGTCTAAAATTAAACAACAGTCAAAAGTACAGACTTTGAGAACTAGGAACTGGGAGGATGATGTGCTTTCCAATGGAAACCGAGTCTGGACTCACAAAGGGAAACAAATCTAACAGGACAAGCGTGTCACTATCCAAAGGATGATCCTTGTACAATTAACTCATTAAAACCCTTTGGCTGCTTTGTCACTACTGCATGCCTCCTCATGTGCCTACTATAGCCCGACTGGCAGCCCCATCACCCATGACTTTACTGGATAGAAGCTGTTCTCAGTCCCCGAAGCCATCCCTAACAAGCAGCCATGAACTCATCACAAAATTTCTCTGAATTTGCCATTTCCTTTATTGGAAAGAAAAACACAACATGACAGTGAATGACGGCATAAGTAAGTGGGAAGAGCATGTGAGATACACTCAACACCACCAGCCACTGGGGAACAAGGAGCGACGCGTCACAGGGAGCCACCGTGATACCCCACTAGATGGTTACCACCAAACAGCAAGCATATCAAGTGCCATCAAGACCCTTGTACCTGCTGCCCCAGCCACTTTCCTGCAGAACCGAACACCAACACGTGAGCCAGCACATCACTACCTGATGCCTACCCAGGAGGAACAAAAATGGCTTCCCACACAGACTTACGCCCAGTGCTTCTGGCATCCTTGTAGTATTCAAACACTAGAAACCACTGAAATGTTCACCAATAGCTGAGCAAATAAGTAAACTGTCCACAGCTGTGAGATGGAGTACTACTCACACAAAAAAGAACTGGGGGCAGGGAATGTCGTGCAGAGATACATACAGTGCTTGCCTAGCATGTGTAAGGCCTAGGCTCCACCCAGCACTGAAAAAACAAACCAAAAAAACTGGTGATAAACAAGGATGAATCTCACAATCATTACTGTAACTGAAAAAGCCAGGGAAAAAAGTATAGTGTATGATCTCGTTTATATAAAATTATAGAATACATACACTAATCCAGAGCAACAGAGAGCACATTAGTGATGTGGAGGTGGAAATGGTAAGAGGGATGAGAAAATGTCTGTTACTAACTGTGGTGATAGTTTCATGGGTACACTACACACACACACACACACACACACACACACACACACACACACACAGAGGTCAAATTATAGCTGGGTATGGAGGTGTGTACCTATAGTTTCAGCTACTGGGGAGGCTGAAATAGGAGGATGGCTGGAGTCCAGGAGTTTGAAGTCAACATGAGCAACACAACAAGACCTCATTCTCAACAGCAAGACTCCATGTCTCAACTGTCTCAAAACAAAACAAAAACACAACAAATCTGGTCAAATTATCCACTGTGAATACATGTAGCTTGGTATGCTCCAATAAAACCAGGGGTAGTGGGTGAAGTTACAGTACTCTAAATGCTATCTGTTGTTCTTTTAGGAAGCTTAAAGGAAAAAAATTCAAGCAATAGTAATAAGAATGCATTTGGAGCTCAAAACATGAGCCAGCTTCGAGCCACCAAGTCCGGACTTCTCGTGAGTGCAGTGATCTGCGTCTTCGTCTTTCTTTATTTAAGAAACACACCTCCTGAGGAAGCCGAGGTGGAGCCCACTTACACAGCAGTGGTAGAATGTGGCTTTTACCCAGATGAACTGTGTTCAGCTTTATTTGAAGGGAAAGAGGCAGCACCCCAAATTGCAAGCCTCTGTAAAACCCCTCGAGCTTCTGAAATGCTGGCTTACTTACGTGCACCAGGAAAGTGCTCCAGGATTTCCCGGAGGTTGCGTTTCATAACCACAGCCCTGTCTGCAGAGGAGGGAAATTTCTCTCTGGCATACATTATAACTGTCCATGAGGAGCTGGTCATGTTTGTGCAGCTCCTCAGAGCGATATATGCCCCTCAGAATGTTTACTGTATTCACTTTGACAACAAGGCCCCAAGGAGGAACAAGGTGGCTGTCCAGACCCTGGCCAACTGTTTTGAAAACATCTTCATCTCATCAAGGCGACAGGAGGTGGCATATGCTGGTTTTACAAGGCTACAGGCAGATATTAACTGCATGAAAAGCTCTCGCTCATTCCGAGTTCCAGTGGAACTATGTCATTAACCTCTGTGGACAGGATTTTCCAATCAAAACCAACAAGGAAATCATACACTACATCAGAAGCAAATGGAATGGAAAAAATATCACTCCTGGACTAATCCAACCTGCAAACACTAAGCCCAAAACTGCTCAAGGTCATCCCAAGTCCAGTCCTGAAGGAAGTAGCTATGTATCTCCAAATGAACGATTCAAATGAGAGCCACCTCACAACTTAACAATTTACTTTGGAAGTGCCTACTATGTACTTACGAGGAAGTTTGTAGAGTTCGTACTGACTGACATTCATGCAAAAGACATGCTTCAGTGGTCCAAAGACATCCACTGCCCAGAACAGCACTACTGGGTAACCCTGAACCGACTAAAAGGTAAGAACAACCCACCAATATGGAGGTCTGTTCACATCAGAAGCTACAGCATGGGATTCAGCTATTTTTCTATGGCTTTGTAAATGTTCTCCATTTTACAAGAACTTCACTTTCCAAGTGCAGGAGGGTCTTAGGTTTTAGGGATCTGAAGTTAGCCAAGACAGCCATATTCCCAGACCAACATGGCTGCTTTAGTTTCTCTCCAGAAAGAAGCACTGGCACGTTGCTTCTCAGATAGAGTGTTTTCAAAATGCTGAGCATAATAAACCTTTAGACATTTCTTCACTTCTTCATTCACTTGATAAATACCAATGGACAGATCCTACTGCCCAGCATTGGGATAGGGCTCTTTAAGGATGGAAAATACCAGCCAGAGGTGGAGGGCTCACGCCTGTAATCTTAGTCACTTGGGAAACTGAGATCAGGAGAATTGCTGCTGAGGCCAGCCCAGGCAGTTTGTGAGACCTCATCTCCCAAATAATCAGAGCAAAAAGGACTGGAGATATGGATGAAGCAGTAGAGTGACTGCTTTGCAAGTGTATAGCCCTGAGTTCAAACTCCAATCACACACACACAACAAAAAAGAAAACAAAAAGAAAAACAGCAAAACTAGTAATGTGTTTGGGCGAACCTGATACTCAATGCCCTGCTTTAAGTGACTTGCATATCTTCTGTTTGGGAAAGGCTTCCTGGCTCCTTTAGGGAGGGATTCAAGCTTGAATCACTGAGCTTCCAGCCCAGACGATAGTGCAAACAAGGATCCAGCAGAAACTGGCTTGGAACCTTTTCATGACCTCTCCAACCCAGTGTAAGCCCTAGTTCCAAATCATCTTGGAGGGCTGCTACAGAGAAAACACAATCTAAACCACCCAACATGATCCTGAGGGCACTTTAAAAACTTCAAGTGAGCTACAGGGATGGAGAAGGGGTGAAAAATGAAACCCAGGTACCTAGATAGAGATCAAGACCTTTGTCAGCCCTTATTCCATTGTCACTGTAGTACTCCTGTCTATGTCATGGATGGCCTTATTATCTCAGGGAAGGGCAGCGACAATGCAGAACCTGTACTAAAAAGGCCAGGATGCTGGAGTCCACAGTCATGCTGGTTTTGTTTCTCCCCAGATGCTCCAGGTGCTACACTAGATGCTGGCTGGGAAGGAAACATCCGAGCCATGAAATGGAGAACGGAGGAAGGAAGCATTCACGATGAATGTAAAGGTAAACAAAAACAAGCAACCTTACAGTTTTCTAAACGTTATGTGGGAGAAAGCTACGACCATCTTTTCTTTGCCCTTTTTTTTTGGGGGGGGGGGGCAGTACTGAGGTTTGAACTCAGAGCTTCTCATTTGCTAGAACTATGACCATTTTAATCTGGAATTAGTGATGATTCAATTAGCAGGGATATCAATTTTACAAAGCTTTTCATTTAATGTAAGATCTGCACAGAGCTGGTGGAGTAGCTCAAGCGTTAAGAGTGCTTGCCTAGCAAGCATGAGGATATGAGTTCAAACCCAGTGCTGCTGGAAATCAATCAATCAATTAACCAACGAATCCGCACATTTTCAAATCAAAGTCTTATTATTCTCACTCCATGAACTTTTCAGTCTTCTCCTTGGTCCAGCAGCTCATCAGCCTGTTACTGGTTTTTCAGAGCAAATGTTTGATGCAAGAATAAGCCATTAAGTGGGAATTAGTTAGAATCTAGTGCAGAGTAGATTCCTTTGACCAACTCAGAAGCACTTTTCAGTGCCTCAAACTGTTTGTCACGTTTTACTCTCTCTTGTCCCACACCTTGAGGTGCTCTCCAGCATCTCTTCCATTTACAGAGACCCTCCCTCTCTCTGCTTATCCTTCCTGTGCTGATCCCATAGTAGTCCAGCAATGCTCTTTCTAAGAAACTCTTAAAAATACTATTGTGCAGGGGGTTACTGCATGCAGAAAGTCCAGTGTTTGTAAGACTGAAACAAACCAGAAAGAATTTTGCTCCTCTCTGTAAAGGGCCCAGAGCTGACATGTGGTCAGCATGGGTGGGTGGCAGCTGTTACTACAGGAGGTCTAACTGACAGAAATTCTTAGTACAAAGTGATGGGATTTGCAGAGAGGTACATTTAACCAGCTAAAATTACAAAATTATAAATAGGAAGCTAAACAGTGTGAAAAACTCAGGGCATAAGTGAAAAATGAATCAGCTATACCTTGGCTATAAGTGTGATTTAGGTATACATATAGAGAGATTTGAATTGGAACCGAACACAAAAAAATGGCACATTTTCAAAGTTGTGTGACTACTGCCTGGGTGGTTAAAAGCAAAGAACTCTTTGTCACTGATCATAATGGAATAGCTGTTCCTCTGCATGCAGTTAGACTGCGAGCTCGCCCCATGTGTGGCAGCTGCAGTTGGTTTGAGACCCATTCTGAAAGTGACTGTCACTGATTGTGGGGTTCCTTATCTGAAAGGATAAGTGATAATAGTTTCCATCTAAGGATCCTCGTGAGGACTGAGTGCAGGCCCAGCGCCAGAGCTCCTAAGCTTTGCCACCATCTCTATGCCAGCCTTGGTCCATGTGGGTGCTGACGCTCAATGCTGCTATAGACGGCTGTGTTCCTGCTCTCCTGTGACAACAACTTGCACCTTGAAGCTGGTGCTGACAAAAGCCTTTGAGTATCCCCTTTTAGGGAGTATGACTTTGTTAGCATTTACAGTTACTAGTTTTGATTTACACATTAGTGAAACATTCAGGTTGTCACTGTATGAATCCTGAGTCATTATTAATGCAATGACCTTTGTTGACATTTCATTAACACCTGCATTCCAGGGGAATCATGTTTTCTGGAAGAATATGAGCCTCCTGCTTATCTGAGCATTTACTTGCTGGTCCTAACAACCCCAGTGAGTAATGACAATGAGAGCCTGCTTTCTAAAGGAAGGTCAAGGGCAGGTGTGGTAATCTGTACCTGTAATCCCAGCTCATTGGAGGAGACGGGAGGATTGCAAGTTTGAGGTCAGCAAAAGAAAATAGGGCTAGGGATGTAGCTCACTGGTAGGGTGCTTGCCTAGCATGCTTGAGGCCCTGGGTACTATCCCTCAGCACAAAAAAAAAAAAAAAAAGGAAAGAAAGAATGTTTGCTGCCTACTTTCAACTGTCACTCTGAACAGCTCCCTGATCTAACCATGGCTGTCTTCTAAAAACACTTTACAAAACTTATCCCAGCCCTCTGGCCTGGCACCTGTCAAGAGGAAGGCAGTGCACAGGCAGCAGGAATCATTCGTCTTTAACCTACTTTGGCACTGGAGTTGGCATATTTTTATTGGTCTATGACCTGTTTATTTTAGGCTGATCTTTTAAATGGCTAGAAATGGGACCCTAGTTTATTTTGCATGTCTGGTCTGCTATGTGCAAACCTGGGGCCATGCCTAAGTGCACTGTGAAAATGGGTCTTTGTGTCTCTGTGGTCCTGCTGGTGTTAGGAAACTGCTTGCAGATGAATGACAGAGCCCAAACGACCTTGAGGAGGGGGTGCTATGTCACAGCCACCTTCAGCTAGTGCATTTTTCTGCATTCTCTGTCATTGTCACATGCAGCTCCATGTAGGGATCAGGCAGTCCCTCTCACATTTCCTTTCCATGGGCTCTCCACAGCATTGGCACATCTCTGCTGGACTGGTTAGCATTGTGCTGTGAGCCATTTGTCATCCACCTTGTTCTCCCCAATGTTATCTGAGCCTCTCAAGCAGCCGTCTCCAGACTAGGGTTTGGGGTGAATGGAGAGAGTTGGACCTTCCCTCTCCACCCTGCAGAGTAGTCATGAAGAGCTCTGTAGCTCCTCACTCAGGCATTTCTCTCACAACTGGTGTGCTGAGAGCCTCTCAAATCTTTCACAAACAAGGGCACTGTATCACAAACTCTGCTTTGGTGATGCACCCCACAACTCTCCCATGACTAAAACCTCAGAGACACCAGACAGAGGACAGGGAGAATCCATAGTTCCTCAGGGATGATATCAAGAGGACAAAGCAGAAAGGCCATCCTCCCCACCAAGCACTGCATAAGAACAGCCGCCAGGGAGATTTCTGTGCCCCCCTGAGCCCTGTAGCACTGGATGGCACAGCGAGGGCTCGCTGCAGAATGTGCACTAAGACATCTATGTGAATCTGAAACCAAAGTAGTCAGCCTTCTCCAGAAAGTCACTCTGTGGCTGGGTGCCAGTTGAGTTTCACATTAAGTTGAATGAGCTAAATTAAGTATGTAGCTCCAAGATTCTGCTGAAAAACTAATCAAAACACAATTTTTAGTAGGTTGGAAAATAAACTTTTGAGCCAGGTGCCGGTGGCTCACACCTGTAATCGTAGCTACTCAGGAGGCAGATCAGGAGGATGGCAGTTCGAAGCCAGCCTAGGCAAGTAGTTCACGAGACCCTATCTTGATAAAAACCCACCACAAAAAAGAGCAGGTGGAGTGGCTCAAGGTGTAGGCCTTAATTCAAACCGCAGTACTGCAAAAAAGAAAATACACCTTTGCAACAAGTAAACCTGTAATATTTTTTCCTTATTTCTTTTAGAGAGCATGTAAGTATAACAAATACAGCCTGTTGCTCTAGAGAAGGAGCAGCAAAGCTTGTCTGCAGGAGGCTACATGGTATGGCTTTCTGACTCTGGTGGTGTGGAGTTTTAACTACTCACCCTTCACTACTTGCCCTTCACCATACACCTGTAAGCCCAGTGAATGGATATGGCTATATATCAGGAAAACTGTAAAAATAAGCCAGGCAGCTGGCAAGTAGTAGCATGCTTTGGAGCAAGGCTCTGTGTTACTAGGAGCAGGGAGAAAAAGCCAGATGCTTGTTTTTTGTTTAAATTTAAAACTTTAGCCATGAGTGGTGGTACATGCTTGTAATCCCAGCATTCAGGAAGCTGAGGCCAGCCTGGCCTACATAGTGAGACCCTCTCAAAACAAACAAACAGCCTTCTGCTGTGTTCACTTACTGAAAGTTTATCCGCCTAAATGTTTATGATTTATACACCTTATGATTTATACCACCTTGTGCCCACAGCTAGCTAAACTTCCACAGTATTCACCTAAAGTAGTCATAAATGTTTCAGAAATCATAAACTCAAGTGCTGACATGAGAGCCTGTCACAGCAGACATGGAAATGCTACTTAACTCTTCTGAAGCATAGAGGCCCTGCAGTGGTGTTCGAGATGTGTGCACTGCTTTTTTTTTTTACAAGACTATGGATTGGTGGGGAAACAAAGGCAGCTAAGATTTCCTGTTTCTTTTTGCAGGCCATTATGTCCAAGATGCCTGTGTATATGGACTAGGAGACTTGCCATGGATAATTCGATCACCTTCTTTGTTTGTCAACAAATTCGAGCCCTCAACAGACCCCCTTGTGGTCACATGCTTAGAGAGGCAGCACAGACTTAAAGTCCTAAGGGAGGCAGAAGTCCCTGTAGAACCACACTGGCATTTTCAACAGGAGAGTTATTTTAACATGAAACTGAAACACTAAAGAGCGTTTTTTTCCTTGTTGATATCATTGTTTCCTGACTTGAAACAAGCAAACACAGAACCACAGAAGGGGACAATAATTCTTGGATAAAAATTAGTCCTAGAATGAGTTCAGAAACATGCTATTGAGAAAACTTTACTCTCAAGTACAGGTCTCTCTATAGCTTTGAGAAAGAAATCACACCAGAACGAAATGATTCAAGTAACCACTGGGGCCACATGGAGGAGCACCTGGAAATCTGAATGCTTCAGAAAACAGCTGCTGAAAAGCAAAATTCTCTACATGCTCAGATCTAGGTTCAAACTGGAGTTTTTGGACAGCCTGGACAGTCTTGTGTCTAAGATACTAACAAAAGAACAAATTCCTGCCCAGGACGAAAGTGTGCCTTGCTAACACTGTCCTTTTAGCTGAGAACAGTGTAACTCTATTCTGGTGAATCCTAGAAAAATACCCAAAAGTCTGTTTCTCTGAGTAAGATGAATTCACTCCAGAGTGGAAAACGCAGCTTCTTAAAAAGGCTGCCTACAGTCTGTAAGTCTTGATGTGTTGTCCACTGGTATGTCTGGCAATGTCCAATGAATCCCAGCTGAGCTGCCCAGCTTCCCACACCCTCAGGGTCTATAGGACATTGGAGATATGCTGAGTGAGACTCTGGAAGTGAACTGTGGTGAGTGAACACATGTAAGACTGTTGTTGTATTGATGGGTTGTGTTGTGTTAAAGCATGAAAAATTGGTGAAATAAGAAGTATTAGCTAGTGTGTGTTAGGACTTAGAAGACAGCCGGAGTGTGACAAGCTGCTATGCTAATAAGCCAACCCGAAGGTGACAGTGTGGATAACAGAAGTGGTGAGGTCACCACAGGGTATATAAACTCAGGTCAGAACCTAAAGCCTTGCTCGTCTCCTTGACATCGGAGACCACGCTGTCAGGAGTCCCCCCCAGGCCCTGACGTGGAGGCAATCGCAGCTTGTGAGCGTGCCCCTTCTCCCGACGACCACTGGGTGTCGCCGGTGAACCGTGAACTGGACCTGCACTGAAGGCGGCTGTGAGGATCCCCTGGGGCATAGCTACGCCCCCATCATTGGCTGAGAAGACAAAGAAGGCTTGGGGGAAGGTCTGAGTAAACTGGCTGGCTAGGGTAGCAGAGACAGGCATTAGGATCCATAGGAAAGTGCCATGTGAATGAGTTTGAATAAAATTCTGCTCTCTGAAATAAGAGTCTCCTGAGTACTCTCTCTCTGTGCTCGAGTGAACCAATAGGCACTCGCAACATGAACCCGGATTTTTATTTAGTTTTTTAAAGTAATTCGACTTTAAATACTAGGTGTGTTGGACAGCCCAGGTCTAAGGCACAAATGGTCTTGATCACTTCTAGTCATAGATCCAGGTCTCCTTCTTTGAAAGTCCCTACTTTTTTGTTTTTGCTTCCGTCACTGAATACGTTATCTGTGCTCTCATTCTCTAAAAGTGTTCTTGGAATCATACAAGATTAAATATACAGCTATTAAATAGGATAACATAAAGTAACTATAAATATGCAGGAACCACAGGGTGGAAACTAAACAAACATGTATTTTGAAGGCAAAATATAAACCCCTCTGTAAACTGACGTTTCCTATAGATAGAAGTGAAATAAAATCCACTGAGGCAATAAAATAGTCCTGGAAAAGCATGATGCTAAATAGAAGGAAAAGAGAATTGAATGCTGATACCACAAAACAAACTTAAGCAGACCACAGAGTATTAAAATCTTTGTTTAAACAAACATTTCTTCCTCTTAACACACAATGAAAATGTTAAGACTGTCAAGGAGAAAAGCTGACTGACAGCCTTGTGACAGCACACAGCGGGCTCCTGCACATTTCTACAGGCAGTGCTGTCAACATTCTTGCTAGTTTTTCAGAAAGCTTGGATTTACCGCAATTGTGTCCCTTGTATTTTATAAAAACTCACTAGAAACTAACTGCAGACCACATATGAAATAAATCTCAAATCTTTTTTTTTTCCCTGAGAACTAGGGTTTGAACTCAGGGCCTCATGTTTGGCTAAGCAGGCGCTCAACCACTTCAGCCACTCCACCAGCCAAAACCTCAAATCTTTAAGTTACTTCCAACACAGGCTTGCTTTCATTTCACTCAATGTCAAACCACAGTATATACTGTGAAGCGGGGCCTACTAAGAGTAACTATACAGCAAGACAACTGTGAGGACCAAGTGTGTTACTGTGGATGAAGCACTCAAAACAGAGTCTGACACTTTTCCCATAGGCGGAAATTTCCCAGGGAAATGAGGGAACCTTCCCGGGAGCACAGGGTGGGGAAAGTAGTGCTAGGATTTGGAGCAGGCAGGCTGTCTGGCTGTAGAGTTCACTCCATTATGACACCACCTGACCTCCTATGAGGAGGCACAATCTGCTCCCAGATCAAACACTGTTAACAGAAGCAGCTACCTGAACATATCACTTCAGAAATAGCATGATGAAATAAATGTAAGAAATGCACATAAAGGCAGAGTGGAATAAAAGCAGCATGAGATTTAGGCTCCAGTGGAGTACTGGGGAGGCTAAGGGAGGACAGGTTGCCATGACCATAGCAGGCAGGAAGCCAAGGCAAGCAGTGGCCTCTTTGTTAGCTTCAGAACCAACAAGAAACTGATGCTCACTATTCTGAATCAGACTTCTTTCAGTTTGTTCATTTATAGAGTAAAAGAACAAAATTAAATCACATATAAACATGGCTGAAATATGATGCCAAGGTGATGTAGGGATCCTCAGATAACGTCTCTAATTTCTTCTTTTTAATACATGAAGTTTACTGCTTAATTTTTGTTACATCATTCTCATGTGTAAAGTTGCAATTCCCTGAGTCTTAACATTCACAAAGACCACAGAGACTGCAGAAAGCTAAAACAACCTGAAGGAGGACAAAGCCTAAAAATCAGAATTAGCTGACTACTTTCAAAGAATACTCCCTTCCCCAACTTAATCTTTTCTTTCCATTTCAATCCCTCCATGAAAACAAACAATGTAAAACAAAAACAAAACCAGCAAGAGTTGACAATTGCCTTTACTTCTGACTTTAAAGCACCCCCACACTCTGTTCACCTACTTACAGAGCCTAAGTGCACCCTACTTCTCACAACCTACATCAGATCTTCTCACACCCCACTACTGTGAATACAAATCACCTGGGGGAATCTTGGTAAAACGGACTCCATTTCTGCAGGTCTGGTTGGGGTAGGGCCTGAGATTTTGTACTTCTTAAAAAGCAAACAAATAAAACACCTCCCAGATCATGCCAATATTGTAGCAGGGAGGAGGGCCAGAACAAAAGCAAGCAAGTCTATGTTCTGATAATGTAGCAGGGGGGAGGGGATGGCATAGCAGGGAGATAAAACTTAAAGAATCTAAACGTGAAAAAGGTCACTTAGCGTTGAGAAAAAGCTAGCCGATGAAATAGTGTGTAACCACATATGGAATAGGTGTTGCTTCTTGCTTCTGTAACCTGCTTACAAGAATATATAAGGTAAGAAGACCCTTTTATTCTCGGGGCTCAGCCTTTGGACACAAGTTCATTGAGTCACTGCTGGCACGCTAATAAACCCTGCTTCCTGAAAAAGCCTCGGTGTCCCATTTCCCTGTTCTCAAGTCTCCCATAACAATATGGCAGGTGCCGCTTTGACTACAGCACATCATTTATCCTGCAACCTGTAATCATTCCTGTGTTTCTTCATATTACAAGAAGTGAAGAACACAGTAGGGAATCCAATTAAATTTTTTGGCTAGTGATTTGTTTATAGTGAAAACAAAAAACCTAGCAACTGCATCTGTTTTGATTCTGTTTACTGAAACTAAGTGTGCACACCATGTGTTATACAATGTGGAACCAAAGCTATTTCAAACCTTTGCGTCTCTTCCTGTGAACTGAAAAGCCAAATCTTGATGGTGGCATGGCTCAAGTGGTAGAACGTGGGCTTAGCACCTGCCGGGCCCTGAATTCATCCCTCAAGGCTGGGTAGGGGGTGATTTAAAAAAAAGAGTATTTTTAAAAAGCCAAGCCTCATAGAAACTACAAGCTGAAAAGTAGAGAAAATGCGTGCCTCAAATACCACTGAGGCTCCTGACATTGTCCTTCTATCAGTGACTTCTCTAAATCTCAGACATTGCCTAAAAAAATCAAAGTATTTTAGTCTTCACACTGTGGCTTCATCTCTCTCCACTCATACTTTCATGATGCACTGCCATCTTTCCTTTTGGGAGAAGTGGCCAGTACTCACCTAGGTATCCAGCTAGACTACATTTCCCAGGCTCCCTGGAAGTCAGGGACTCATGCCATGTGATTGAGTTCCAACCAATGGAATGTGAGCAGACGTGTGATATGCCATTTCAGGTCTAGCCCATAAAAATCTCCTAAGATAGATGCTCTCTCTCCTTTCCATTAAGTCAAGGAAAGTACTCCCAAACCACAGGAGGTCAGAGCTACTACACAGCAAAAGTCTGGAACTTTGAGTTACCACTGGAAGTTGGGGGTCCTTAGTTACAGCAGTTAGCCAACCTGATCAATATACTTGGTACTACTAAACTTTAGGAACTTTAGATTAGAAACTGATGTTTAACTCCTGATAACAGTATCTGAATCTATCACTTATTTCCTCACTTTAAAATGTGACTTAAAAACTGTCAATCTAGAAGGAAAGCATCTGTGAATTACTGTAATGTCTTTATTTACATATGAGAATCTGGGGTCCAGAGAGGTGAACCAAAACTGATGTATCTCAGGTTCTCAGTGCTTTATAGTGTGAATGTGTCCCTCAAGGTCATGTGTTGGAAACTTAATTCCCAATGCGTTAGTGTTGGGAGGTGGGAACTGAGGGCAGGTGTGTGGGTCAGGGGGACACCAGCCTCATGGGTCAGGCGACACCAGCCTCATGAATTAGTTAACACCATTAGCATGGGAGTGGGCTCCTCATAAAAGGATGCTTGCTCGACCCATGCCTGCTCAGGCTCGAGACCCACCTCTCTCCCTCCCTCTCCCACGAGATCACTCGCGCTTGCACGTGATGTCTTCCACCACATTAACACACGGCATGACGTTCTCTAGCATGCTGGCACCTCCCAGCCTCCAGTTGCCAGGAAGTAAATTTCTGTTCTTCATACACTACCCAGGCTCAGGTAGTCTGTTGTAATAACACAGACAGACTGTGAGATGGACTGCAGAAATGAATGAGTGAATCCCACTCCTGTGTACCACTGTCTGCCCCATGCTCTATGATTCTCTAATCTGTGTAGTATTACAGGCTGAACTTTGCCTCCACATTCGTATGTTAAAAGCCCTAGCCCCTGGTACCTCAGTGCTATCTAGAAACAGGCGGCTATAGGTGTAATTAGTCAACATGAGGTCATTAGGCAGGCCCTAAGCCAATGTGACTGGTGTGCTCACAAGGGTGATCTGTACACAGAGACACACACAACATAGGGAAGGCCAGCCACAAGCCAAGCAGAGGCCTAGAATGGCTCCTTACTTCACAGCCCTGCTAACACCCTGATTATGGACTTCCAGACTCCAGGACGGGGAGACAATCATTTTCTGTTAAGTTGAGCAGTGTATGGTACTTTCTTACAGCGGCTCTAGCAAACTAACAGAGTATCCAATCTAGCTGTGCAAAGGCAATGTTTATGAGATTACAGAAGTGAAAAGAGCTCTTTATTTTGTCTTTTGCAACAGATTTATTCTCAAGAAAGTATTCTCTATGAGGTATTCCTAAGTTACAGCCAGTCCTGCCTAACTGCAGGAGGTCTCAGCAGCTGCCTGGCTTGGCACTTGGTCCCTGCAACTCTGTGCAGACAGTACTGCCAGCTGCACCTGTGTCAGCTGCTCTGTAAGCGAGGCTTTAAGTTAGCGTCTGTTGCAAGGGACAGCTGCACTGCAGTCTATGGGCCTCACTGAGGGGTAAGGACAGCAGTATGACTGCTTTAGATCAGTGAGTGCCCCAAGCCTTGGTGTCTTTTATAGTTATTCTGGAAACGGAAAAACTAGAAAGTCACGGGACTCTGGCAGCAACCCTGAAGAGCTGCACTGAGTGGGTCTGAACCAGAGAATGGGCACTGAACAAGCTCCTGAGGCAATTCACATATAGCTGGTTGGGGACGTGCTAAGTTATGTCATCTGGTTTCTGGACTAAATTTCAGCTTCATTTCCTACCTTTTTCATATTAGTTTCCTGAATGCACGTGCAACTGTGTCTAACTGCTAACATCTTACACACTGTTTGTAAGAATGTGCACACATCTGAGCTCAGGGCATATGCAAAGCTCCTTTTTAGTGGGCAGAAGCCCCTTAAGTGCTCTGAGTTTAGTCTGCTCTCTCTGAGATCACTAGCAAGTGTTAAGAAAGGTGACAAAAACATCCTATGACCAGAAACTTTCTCCACAAGTATGCAGAAGATGTGCAGGAGAGCCCGATGAGAGTCACCACCTTACTTAGTGATGTCTCACAGATATTTAATATCCTGGGGACTGCTCTGAAGCAGCACCCCACCTCACACAGTCATGCCTATCCCTGGGACAGTCTCACTCCTGAGAATCATGTGGTTCCTTCCAGGCCCAGAACAAATGCCTCCCCTTCATAAGACCATTTCTTAGCAGCACAGACTAAAGAATGTGCTCTGGCATTTGAATGTCAATTGCATCTTTACCTCTACTTGGAGGGAACTGGATGGGCCATAACTGATACAAGACTGCAGTCTTCTCAAGCACAGGGATCTTACTTTCCCTCAGAACATCTGTGACATTACCTTCATCAAGACAACACAAATGTCGCCAACTAAATCATATCACTAAGTCCCAAGTGTATCATCCTTTTCTTTAAAAGAAAGCTTCCAAATTCCTAAAGGTTTTATTTAGTTCTCATGCCCCCTCCCCAACTGACTTCTTCACCACCAATTACCTTTCACCTGTCTCTGAACCCTATATAAATGGAATTATCCAGGCTGTTCTACTCATTCAGCTTCTTTTATAGAGGGCTCATTTTAAATCTACAGTACATCTGGTCCACCTTAAAACTGCCCTCTAGCTTTCCACTGATCTTAGAATAAAATCCACAAACACCAACATGACCACCCTGGTCCTGCAAGACGAGACCCCAGACTAACTTTAACCTCACTTATTTCTTATCTCCTGCGCTCCACCTGGGCCACACTTGCTGTTCTTTGAATTAGTAGGGTCCTGTCACTTCTGGGCTGCTGTGCAGCTGCTTCTGCCCCCTCAGATACTGCTACCCTGCACTGCATGGCTGGCTCCTTTGTGCCCTCTGGGCTCAGCTCACCATTCAGAGATGCCTTCACCAACCCCTGAGGTGATCTCTCCCTGCTACACTGCCTTGTCTGCTTCCTTCTGAGCATCTGTCACATGGCGATATATGCTTACACATTTATTTGAGTGCCTCTCTTGCTGCCATGGGATATCTGAGGGCAGGACCTTCATGGATCTTTTCCTCCCAGATATCCCACCAATTACGTCCTAGGACAGGGGCTGGCCCATAACAGCTGCTCAGTGAAAGCTGTTGACTGAAACAGCAACAAAAGGAAGAAGCAATACAACGCCTAACAAACTCTGGCTGAGTTAATACAGGTGAACAGTCAGGAGCTACTGCAAGCATCCACGGCATTATGCTGGATGCAGGCCTTACAGAGGCCAGCAGGACAGCAATGCTGTGAAGGTGCCGGGCTTTGGCAGCACTATTGTGTAAGCCAAGTCATCAGGACTCCCTTTGTGCGGGCTGAGAAGGCGATGCCACACCAAAGCACATGCTTGTCACACGACCACATGCTGAGGGCGTGTCCAGGAGAGGACAAGGCCTGCAGATGAAGAGGTGAGCATGCCCTGTCTGCTCCACGGACACCTACTGTCTGCAGGAAGTCACACTCATACACAGGTGTACTATGGTGACAGATGAGAGGTAACAGGGCACTTAGCGAACACAGAAGGAGGACTCACTGGGCAAGTAAGGACTCAGTGACTGAGGCTCTCGGGGAGCAAGGGCTCCCAGGCTGGCAGGTCAGAGGAGAGGGCATGCAGCCCGGGAGAGAGCAGCAGCCCAGGCAACAGCCCACATGTAGTCTGGCCTGGGCAGGATGGCAGTGTTCAGGCCATGAAAGGCTGAGTCCGTACTTCCACAATGAAGACCCATGGAAGGGTTTATAGCAGAGAAGCAACATACTAGTTGTATGTTTCAGAAAGGACTTCAGGATTCAACAGAGGGAGGAACTGTAGACTCAGCTACCAAGAGGGAATAAATGGAACATGCCAGAAACTCACCGTGTGGCAAACTTCCGCTTTTATCTCTTTCAAGGCGCGTTCAGAAAACACACAACCACAGCACCGCAGGAAGCAGAACCTGCATGGAGACAGTCCAGTGAGGAGAAGAGCTTAAGCAAGAAGTACAAGTGAGTACCTACACTATCAAGTGACAGTTGATCCACTTACACAAAAACAGGTGCTATGAAGATAAAGACGGTTACATTTCATCCTATTTGAGGCCAATAGGAGAAGGGGACCAGGAACTAGAGAAAAGGTTAGTTCGAGAAGAATTAACTTAGAAGGTAACACCCATGTACAGGAAAGCAATGCGAGTCAACTCCCTGTATAGCTATCCTTATCTCAACTAGCAAAAACCCTTGTTCCTTCCTATTATTGCTTATACTCTCTCTTCAACAAAATTAGAGATAAGAGCAAAATAGTTTCTACCAGGTAGCGAGGGGTAAGGGAGGGGGCAGGGGTAAAGGGGGAGAAATGACCCAAACATTGTATGCACATATGAATAAAATAAAAATTTTAAAAAAAAAGGGGGGCTTGGGTACAGCTTAGTGATAGAGCACTTGCTAGTGTGTGGGAGGCCCACAGTTGTAATGCCAGCACCACAGAAAAAAAAAATCAGCATGCCCAAAAATTTTAAAAAGTATGCATTGAAACTAAGACCACAGACATAAAAAGTCAAAAGGCAGAATAAGAACTCAAGCAGATTCTTTAAAATATGTATGAGGGTTAGGTTTATTTTATGAATAGTCGAAGGGACTTTAAAAAGAATTATAAATCATATAATAGAAAAAATGGGTAAAAGGCATTAAAATGCAATTCATAAAAGAAACCTAGAGGCTAAAAACATAAAAAGATTGCTAACTTCAGCTGGGCATGATGGCATGTGCCTGTCGTCCCAAGCTACTCGAGAAGCTGAGATTGGGAGGATTGTGATTCCAGGCCAGTCCAGGCAAAAAAGTTTGTGAGACCTCCCAACTCAATGAAAAAAAGCTGGATATGGTGGCGTGTGTCTGACTCCCAGCCATGGCAGGAAGACTAAAATAGGAGGATTCATGAGCCTGGACAAGAGGAATAAGGCAAATTGGTACTCAAGGTTATGAAAACGTGTAAATTGGACTGGGAAATAGTAGAAGAGATTATAAAATATGAATGATACGACCCGGGGCTATTTGGGGAGATACATGTCTTTCACAAGTCTGTTTGCAGAGGTGTGGAGAAATGTAGACGCAGGGGAGGGGACCTTAAACACCAAACAACTCGTACTGCTACAACAGGAAGACAGACAGCAGAAAGCACTTTCAGATTCCACTTTATATATTCCCTTAAAAAAATTCCACAATAGAAATTGTCTCTAATTGTCTAGAGACTACAGTGGGTATAGATTGTCCCAACAAAATCTAATTAGTAACACAGCACACAGCAATAAATTCATCTGATGTTAAGGATCAAAAAAAAAAGTCCTATTTTGTGATGTTTACTAATTATTACTAAATTAGAAAGTTATATTTCCTAATGTTTTTATTACATAGCAATTTCTATTTTTCTGTAGATTTAAATCCTTATTATACAAGCTTTACTAAATATACAAACTAATGAAAAACTCAATTTTCTAATGCAGGGCACTAGCAATCAGAAGATTCTAGTAAACAGGCAGAGCCCAAATAAGTGGGAAGAGAAAAAAAAGAGATTAACCAGCAAAAGAAAGGGAAGGAGCCAGGGGACACCACAATCAGGTCAACAGGCTACCAGTAGCTCCCACTGACGACCCCCAGCTAAGTTCGTTTCCTGCTGAGTTCCTCTTGTGGGGTGAACCATGGTTTTATTAAAGAGAAGTAGGAAACCCAACTCAAAAGGTCACATATCGTATGACTCTATGCATATGAAACATCCACTGAGACAGAAAGCAGAGTGGTGATGCCAAGGGTTGGTGGGGAGGGGAATGTGCTAAGTGGGAATGGGGGTTTCTTTGGGGATGATAACAGTGTTTTGGGAATAATGGTGACTATATTAAATGCCATAAGTGTGTGCTTTAAAGTGGCCAATTTTGAATTACATGACACTCACTTCATTATTCATGCACATTTATTAATCAAATAAAAAGTGGGACAAGGTTAGGTGATTGAGTCTGGATTTCCAGACTCCTGCTTGACCCAGCTAGTGAGGACCAAGAGAGCCCAAGTGGTTTGAAGGATGATTTTTAAAAGCACAAGGACCACAGGCTTAAGTTTTACTTCCCTCCAAATCCATGGAGCTGCAGATATCCCATTTCAGCTTGGGGACATTTCTGTCCCCAAGTCTCTCTGGCACAGTCTGCTACATTCAATAGTGCCAGGCACATGAGAAACTGGCTGTGTATGTCTGTCACACGAATGGCACATGAATGTCTGTCACAAATGTGCCAGAATGCTAGAGGTAAAATATGGTTGCTGATAGCTCAATTAAAGTTTTTACTTACCTGAAATGCTTTCCCTTTCCTGAATGAAAATAGTAAAAATGTTTTTCAATATGTCAGAGGTCAGATGGAAGGTTCCAGAGGGTAGTCTAGAGGACCCCTTATTAAAGGTACTTCTAAATGATGGGAAAGGGCTTAAAGGCTTTGCTTAGTGAGACATCCTTATGAAAGGACGTCTTGCCCATTCACCATTTCTACTTCCTAAAGAGGAAAATATACAGGTGACTTACATTTGCTAGAGAAATTTCAACACTAAGATTTCAGAAGCTCTTGTCAAACCACGTTTTCATGAACAGCTGGGACTTTAGCTGGCTGATCAGGTCACACATCTGTAACTGCTACACGTTAGTCACACTGTTTACCACTGAACAAATGGGATTGTTACATAGGAAATATTTGCCCTTTGCTTTCTGTACCCTAGGAAAAGAGAGTGAAATAACCAACTCTAGTCTCCTAAGTGTCACATGAGCATTTTTTACAGCTCCATTTCACACTAGATTTTCCTGCTCTCAAGAACAGAGGACTACAGACAAGAAAGTTGAGCAGTTGGCAGTCAGAATACAGACGGCTGCTGGGGAAGGGGTCCACTGCTGCCTGAGTGCCATTTACTCCAAGGAACTCACTAACCAAGCCTCGGGACACCATAAGGAAGCCCTAACAAAACCAGTATTATTTCACCAGGTCCCACGTCATCTGCCCCATGCCCACTGACCTGTGCCGGCCATTCATCTCCAAGCCCACGACAGGGCAGATGAAACGTGCCCGCTGGAGGTCGTCATGCTTGTCGCCTTTCGTGTTTCCTTTATCTCCTTCCCAGGCAGGATTATCAGAAAGCTTTAGTTCTGTCACGTTCTGCGAAAAGCCATTAATAAGGTTGAAGATAGCATATGTGGGACTGCACCCCTAACCCACAGAGCACCGCAGCTTAGCAACATGGCGCCTTGGAGAGCGTGGATGCGCACCATCAAGATCTCAGAGCTGGCTGGAGCTGCAGCCCAAAGCCACAGCCTAACGCCACAAGAGGGCACTGCCTCACCCCAGCCTGGGAAAATGTCTACACTCAAATTCCAAGTACCATTTCTACTAAATATGTATCACTTATTACCACCATAAAGTCAAAAACCAAACAAACAAACAAAAAAACCTTGTAAGTTGAGCCATCATAAGTCAGAGACCATCTATATAAATTAGATAATCTCTAGTTTACGAATACTTCGTTATTTAAGGAAAAGTAAGTAACTTTTCACATCAAAAAGTATTATGCTTTGTCCCATCAGGAAGGACCACTCTTTTCCTGCAGATGGGTCCTCACCGAGGTTGCTCGTGTTACTAACCACCTGTGTTTATGTAATAACTGATCAGGGGCTGGCGGAGTTCCTCAAGTAGTAAGAGTGCCTGCCTAGCAAGCTTAAGCACTGAATTCAAACCTCAGTGCACACCCCTCCCCCAAGAAAAAAGAGACTTAAAAATAACTGATCAGACAGGAAAATCTATTGGTCACTGCCTCAGGCAGAATTTTAGTCAGGAAAATACTGTCGTATATCAAGACACAGGTGTTTAGCTTTCCAGTAACTCAATTTTATAAGACATCTGATTCAGCAGTCTAGTTAAGCATTTGAGCCCTTTCTTCCTATTAACTAGATTATTTTATTTCAATTTCAACACTCTGAAGCACAACTGAGTGCCTTAAAAGGAAAGCCACTATCTCTATGGCCAACCTCCTGGGCACGATTCAGATGAAAGGCAACAAGCGTCTCACCAAGCTCTCTGCTAAGAGTATTCATGGACTGTAATGATAAGATGTGTGTTGGCGTTATGTTGTTTGAGAGCCTGTTTGAAGGTTCTAGCAGGGGAGTGCAGCTACTCACACAATCTTGACCAAAGCATAGTCCTGTGTTATCAGGGAAGGCTATCCTTTTCAACTGAGCACACAAATTCAGGAGGAAGAAGACACCAGTCAGACACATCAGACCAATCAACTCCAGTGATCAATGGGGTGGCATCACAGCCAGATCACCCCACATTCTGCATAATTTCTCTTGAATTCTTTTTCTTTATTGTTCCAATTTCTTGGAGGGGTGTGTGCGTTTTTACTTATTTTCAGGTGGTACCGGGATTTGAACTCAGGGGCTTGTGCTTGCTAGGCAGGTGCTCTGCCATGTTAGCCACAGCCTTTTTGCTTTAGCTATTTTTCAGATAGAGTCTTGGATTTTTGCCTGGGGCCAGCCTCAGATCAGGATCCTCCTACCTACAACCTCCTGTATAGCCAAGATGGCGTGCACCACCACATCTGACTTCTTTGTTGAGACAGGGTCTCGCTAACTTTCTTTTTCCCCTGGACTGGCCTTGAACAATGATTCTCCTGACCTCTGCCTCCAGACTGCTGGGATTACAGACGTGAGCCTCTGCTCCTGGCCTGTGTTTGCATTAGAGATTCAACTATATAAAACTAAATGTTGTGTGTGTTCTTTAAGCATAGAATTATATGAATTAATTACAAGGATAACTGAATTTTTTTGGTAGGGAGGCAGTACTGGGGATTGAACTCAGGGACTCATGCTTGCAGGTATTCTCCCATTTAAGCCACTCTGCCAGCTCAGTGAAAACCGAATTTTTTTTTTTTTGAGCACTGGGAGATGAGCACTGGGGAGATAATTGAATTTTTGAGGCAAAACAACTCATACTAGCACAGATTTTTCTTACCAAAGCAAATTTAAGAAAATCAGCATGATGACTGCCATAGCACCACAAATTACATTTCAGAATCACTGCTTTGCCTGAAATGAGATGATTATAGGTAATCATCTCAGAATTCAAGCAAAAAGCCTACTTAAAAAAAAAAAAGGAAAAAAAACCCTCAATTTCTAGAGTCCAGGGATTTGGTTCTGGTTTAAAGACTTCACTAACCAGCCACGTGGCCTCCTCGAGCCACTTACATGAGACGAAAGGTTCGATCAGCCCGATGATTCTAAAATTCTTCAATACCTTTTTGGGGACCCCCACACTAACTAGAGATGAAAAAGAGTCTTTAAAAAAAACCTTGTCTTTTTCTATTTTTATGAAAGAATTTAAACCACCAAACAGAACTTCTAATAACAAGGAGGTAACTGCAATGATTTATATTGATTCACCTACAAAATTCTCTGATTCCATGTAAGCACCTTCCAAATTTAATTAAAAATTCAAGTAGCTGAGTCTTTTTGTTTTTGGTGCTAGGGATTCAACCCAGTGCATCATGCTCTAGCATGACAGGCAGACACTCTAATGCTGAGCGCTGTCTCCAGCCCTCAGGTCAGAACCTGGGAAGCTTATACAGCACCTGAGGAAAATTCAAAGCACGCTCACACTCTGAAATCACAACAGACTTGATGCAGAAGGCACACCTGTGGGCATCACAGCTATATCAGGTAGCCGGATGGGACCGGACTCTCAAACTTCTGACCTCAGTCTTTAATATACATGACCTCTGTAAAACAACCTCAACGCTCTTGGGGCACTGACATCCCACATCTTACCTTAATGCTCTTAATGTGAGATGCTGCCTTCCCAAGAGCCTTCTCGGCAGATTTGTCCAATAAAAACTCAATGACAGCGTCTTTGTTGTAAAGCCTGCAAGAGTAAGGATTAGTCAAAACATGATGGCAACGATCAACTTTCAAATAACCAAGGGAAAAAGAAATTGAACATGATCCCAAAGTCATTTACATTTGATAAAAATAAATGCTCTGCCTTTCTAAATAGTATATATAACCCTATTTCAACTATTACCAGAGCATACAAAGAAAGAATTTAAATCAAGGGTGGTAAACCAGCAGTCTAAGGGCTTAATATAACCTGAACAAGGATTTAAAACTTGGGAAACTTTGCTTGGCATAGTGGCTCATGTCTGTAATCCTAGCTACTTGGGAGATAAAAATCAGAAGGATTGTGATTCAGGCTAGCCCCAGCAAAAAGTCTGAGAAATCCCATCTCAACTCAATAAAAGCTGAGTATGGTGACACATGTCTGCCATCTCAAGGTCCAGGCCAGCCCCGACATAAAAGCAAAAAGGACTAGGGGCAAGGCTCAAATGATAGAGTGCCTGCCTGACTAGTGCAAAGCCCTGAGTTCAAACAACAATAAAAAAACCCCAAAAACTCCCAAACTTGAAATTTTTAATGTAAGCATACATATTTTTAATCCTTCTTCAAAGATAAAAATCAGATTTAGAAGTGTAGATCCACATTCTGGAACTGTGAGAACTGGCTAGAATGAGTAACAGCTCCCCCTTTAAACAGCACAGGGCTTTCCACACTCCCCACCATTCTCTACCCTACCTCACATGGTTCCTTCATGCTTTATCTTTGTAACTTAGCAGAGCTCTAGCTTGGTTTTTGAGTTCTCAAACCATGGGTTAAATAGTCAGACTGACCATAAGAGTGAAGAATTAGGCTCAGAGATGGGAAAGAAACACATTCACTCAGGATGCCAAGAACTGTTTTCACATGAAAATTCTCTTCAATACACATGCAAGTAAATGTAAAAATGATAAAAGAAAGAAAAGAAAAATTTCTCTTCAAAATCAATGAATGAACTCATCTTGATTAAATAAAAGAACCATACCTGCCAAGTTCACAAGCAACTATTGGTCGTCTTAATATTTCCTGACTTAGAGTACAGTAGTTCCATTGGGCCACTAGTTCAGCATCTTTGTCAACCTAATAAAAGAAGACAAAAAAACTCCTTTCAATTAATCTCATCATTGAAAAACACATGGCGCACGATTCTGCATATAAAAGTTTAATACCACACTGTGATGTTTTCACTTTTTAAATCAAACATAGTGACACAAGCCAGTGTGCTGGTGTATACCTATAATCCCAGCACTTGAAGAACGAAATAGGAGGATCCCAAGTTTGAGGTCAGCCTGGGCTACTTAGCAAGACCCTATCTCATTATTAAAAAAAATAAAAAAGAAAAAGAAAAAAGACAAAACAATAAAAAGAAAGAAAGAAAAAAGAGCCGAGGATGTAGAGGATAGAGCTCTGTGGCAGACCACTTGCCCAGCATGCACAAGGCCCTGGATTCCATCTCCAGTACCACCAAAATAAGGCAAGGGGAAAAAAAGGATATTGACACCTGAGGTTGGTATACTGGGACAGAATGCAGCTCAGTGGTAGAGGGCTTGCCTAGCATGCATCCTGGGTTGGATCCAAAAAATAAAAGAAAAAAAGTCTTAATACAATATAAATCTATATGTTACACATACAAAGAAATAGTTTACATTGTATCATTAAGCTATGCAAGCTACATACATATATTAATGCTTGTATTTTAACAATAAATTAGGGAGGTCATATACTGGAGGGCATGCTGACAGTTCCAAGCTTCTAATCATGAGGTGGTCTTTCTGGTGACTAGCCTCCAACCAGGAGTCCACCAAAAAATCACCTTATTAGAATAAATGACACTCCTTTCACCCAGAAAATTCCAAGGGATTCAGGAGTTCTGTGTCAGACACCAGGGATAGTTATCTATCTATTTATCCATCCATCCATTTATCCATCCAACCTATCTATCTACACACACATGCAAACATGTATTTCTGTATTTCTTGTTATTTCACAATATGGATTTGAACTATAAGCTCTACAAGGAGTGTCTTGCTCTTTACTATATCTCCAGGGCCTAGAACAAGTGTACACAGCAAGCACTTAATAAATAATTATTGTGTGAATGGGGTTAATAAAAACTTTCCTCTAAACATTCCAGATCACCCTCTCTCCTACTGCTTTCTGGCATCAAGCCTTTCATTAAACTACTTCTTTTCAGCCCTGTGCACAAGATAACAGAAATGAGTTAAATACTTATCTTTTTGCAAAAACTCCCACAAGTGCTAACTATCGGGCATTAGCCTGGGAGTATGTGAGTATGGCCAGGACACTCTTTATCCTCTTGGGTATTCATTTATTCTCATATTTAGCCAAGCACAGTGACTTAAGTCCTAGCTACCTGGGAGGCAGTGATCAGGAGAATAGCAGTTTGAGACCAGCCCAGGCAAAAAGTTTGTGAGACCCCATCTCAACCAATAAAAGCGGGGCATGGTGGTATACCCCTGTCATCGCAGTTACAAGGGAAGCTAGGAGGATCATAATTCAGGCCAAACCTGGCATAAATGCAAGATCCTATTGCAAAAATAACCAAAGCAAAAAGGGCTACAAGAGTGGCTCAAATGGTAGAGCACCTGCCCAGCAAGCTCGAAGCTGAGTTCAAAACCCAGTACGGCCAATAAGTAAATAAACAAATAAAAAAAGCGAACACATAATTATTGGCATATATTATGTACAGGCATATCACAGAGGTTACAAGACATGACATGCAAGGACCCTACCCACATAGGAGAGAGACAGACAGCAAACAAATAACTACAGTGACAGGCACTGTAAAGAACAGTAAGTTAGCAGAGGGTAGAGACTGAAGTGAAGAGTATTTCAGCTATAGTAAACGGAGAAGACTGCTGAGTAAAGAACTGAATGACAAGCTGACAATGTCCCCATCTCAGTGAAGAACATTCAGGTGATGGGCACTCCAGGCTGAGGAACAAAGCCTGTGTAGCTAGAATAGAAAAAAAGAGGTGGACAGGGGCAGAAGATGAGAGCAAAATACAGGCAGGGGTCTGTTCACACAGGCCTGTACCATTTTATTCTGATTGTGATGGGAAGTCACTGGAGTGTTCCAAACGCAACAATGACAGATGACATTTACTTTTAACAAAGATTTCGCTGACCGCTGGATCTAAATATATGAAGTACCCACATGTGCCAGGAACTGTACTAGTTGCAAATAAAAAATCATTGTTAGTGCTAATTTTGAAATCCCAGATAACTGCACAGGAACCTTGGCTTCACTACCTACCAGCTCTGTGACTTCAGTCACATTAATTAACTTCCCTGCCATTAGCATGGAAATTATTATACATAATTTTCTCCTGCTCGGTGACCTTTAAGGATTAGAGATTATTCACTCACTCATTCAAAATATTCACTGTGAGCCAGGCCCTGGTGGCTCATGCCTGTAATCCTAGCTACTCAGGAGGCAGAGATCAGAAGGATCAGAAGCCAGCATGGGCAAACAGTTCAAGAGACCCTATCTCGAAAAACCCTATCACAAAAAAATGGCCAGTGGAGTGACTCCAGGTGAAGGCCCTGAGTTCAACCCTCAGTTAAAAAAAAAAAATTCACTGTGCCAGAAAGTGTGAGAATTGTGAAAGAAAAGGGTGCATGCAGTATGAGTCATCAAAAGCTTACTGTCTGGTCAAACACTAGGAGCTCATGCCCATAATCCTAGCTACTAGGTTGGTTTGAGGCCAACCTAGGCAAACAGTTCACAAGACCCCATCTCCAAAATAACCAGAGCAAAATGGACTGGAGGAGTAGCTCAAAATGGACGGGGGGCTGCTTTGCAAGCGCGAAGCCCTGAGTTCAAACCTCAGTCCCACCAAAAAAAAAAAAATTACCGTCTGGTGGGGGACACTGACATAAATCAGCCACGAACGCGGTGTGTGGGGTAGTAAAATAGATTTTAGGGCCCTGATTTCGTGGCATAAGGGAACGGTTTGGAGGAACTTCACTGAGGAAATGAAGTTAATATGCACAAAGCTCAGTAAACACTACCTATTTATACCGCCGTTACTAACTGCAGATAAGGTTCAAATTCTGGTCCTGACACTTCTAGTTCTGCAACTTTCTCCTCTTGAGCCTCAGTTTCCATGTGTGAAAATGCAGATGACAGTACGTATCGATACGGCTGTTAGGAGAATCACACGAGATATCCCATGTTAAGGGTACTGTCCGATGAATGCAAACAGTAAGCACTGCATAAAGACCCACTATATATTATCTTGATTTTGTTTTGTTTTGCGGTACGGAAGCTTGAACTCAGGGCCTTCCTCTTGCTAGGCTCTACCGTTTGAGCCATCGGTCCATCAATATTGTTAATTTCCAGTCCTCCGAATGGAATAAAGAGCGCGGTTAGGCAGGTCTGGAACCTACCGGCTCCCACTTTCTACCTCCCGTTGCTCCCTGAGGACGTCGGTCTTCCCACCCCCGGGGCCCACACTGCTGACCTTCTCAACCTTCTTCGGCCCCTTCACCAATTCGTGTCTCTTGGGGATTGTTCCTCCGTCGCAACCCATCGTAAGGCCGGAGTCAGAGACAGGAGCAAAAACCCAACCAGCTACTTCCGTGAATCTCAAGCAAAAGATTAAGTAACTTCCGGCGCGCCGTGATGACGCAGAACGTCAATCGCGTCTCAACGCGGCGGTGAGTGGCCGTTGCTCTAGGCGGGGCGAGGCTGTTGCCAAGGGCCCGTTGCCATGGAGAGCGTTTCCGGGAGTTGGGCGTGGCCCGGGGGCGTGGGCAGCCGGAACGCTGGCTGGTATTCCCGAGCGCTCGCTCCTCTCCCAACCAGGCGCGTCTTCCTCTTTCTAGAGCGTCCCCGGACTTCTGCTTGAGTCGCTCGTCCCCGCCCCAGGAGGGTGACGACGGCGAGGGTGACTCTGGAGCACCCACCGCTCTTGGCCGGTCCCCAGCCTCGTGTGTTTGCGGCAGTGAGCGCCCTGCGGAGCCGGGTCGCGCCTGGCTACTGCAACTAAGGATGCAGATGGACGGAACCTGTCATTTCAGCTAGCATTTATGTGTTTAAAAGAACACATGAATTGTTGTGCTCCAGATCTGACCTAAACGCCCTGAGAAACCCTGCGGTGTTGCCGCAGATTCTGGGGGCATCAGAGCCCCTTTCTGAGGCAGGGACCTTCTAATGTTGCCGTATGTTCTGCATCTGTATGACATTTTGCATGCACTTGGTAAGTGCATACCTTTCACTCACAGCCTCCTAAAGCCCATGCTCAGGTTTTTTTTTTATTTATTGAGAAGCAGGTTCAATTAACAAATTATGTATTTGTTCTCATAAAAGATACACTGATGCCTACGTGCCCTTCCCAGGAGGCAGGCTCTTGATCACCTCTGTTCAAATATTAGGGTCAGGCTGTAAATTGCTAATGAGGCCGACCTTCACAATGCAAGTTTACCACATTGGCCTAAGTGAAATATAAAAAAAGTTTAAAATAGTCCCAACTTGGGAACAAGTTGCCATGTAGAAAATATGTGGATTTCTAAAAACTTCAAAGTCTATAGGCTCAAGGTGTCTGTTATTGTAATTAATAGGAATTAAAGGGAAATAAATCATCAGTTGATCTCTTACTGGTTTGTGATTTATTTTAGTGGTAATGACAAGAACTGTAATCCCCATGAAGATAGGATCTTCGTGTCACTCCCCCCATATCTCAGTGCCTAGAAGATTCTTTGGCATACCGAATAAACTAAACGCACAGACTCATTCAGAGAGAGGTGAGCAGCCAAGATTTGGCAGACCCTGAAAGTGTGAGAACTGCAAAAAGCTTGGCACATGACAACACTCTCCAATCTATTGCACTAAGAGACTTGACCAGACTCTAGCATGGCTTCTAGCCACTGAAGCTGTGTCCCTCGCAAGACCTCAGCCTGCATTACGTGACTGCTTGGAGAAAACTCAGCAGTGCCCTGTCAGCTGTGCTGGGGTAAAGCTTTGGCAGCTGGAGTTCTCTCTTCCTCCTTGGTTCTTCTTTTACAATATGGTTCTCCGAGCTACTTTGCGCCTCAGACTACACCCAGTTGAAAACTTGCATGTGGTTCATTATCGTCAGGAGCAACTTTTTTGGTCAAGGGCTGGCTGCCATGCCAGGTGGGCCCGTGTTCACTTGTGTGCTCCACCATGCCCAGCTGGAACCAGTCCTTTAAAGACAGTTGCAATAGTTCCCAAATATTTAAGTCCTTCTAAACCATAAAAGATTTGATTTCCTGACAGTTCTGCTTATGTGCACTGCTTTAACATTCTGTCTGGAAAAATATGACCTGCAAGATCTCATTTCAAGACTGAGCATTTATATATATTAGAATTTTTTTGGCAGTACCAGAGTTTGAACTTGAGGTGTATTCAGGATTTTTAAAGAATTTTACAACCATTATTTAAGGTCATGCTTGGGAGAGAGTCCTAATGAAGTTTCAAAAGTGGAAAATTGGGTGATTACTGAGGTAACTCAAGACAAAAATTCCTTTAAAATTTCAGCTTTAGGGAAATATTTAAAGTATTCCAGATTTGTATGTCAAGTTCATGTTGGCTGCTTTTCTTTCATTTACTGGGCCCCAGCTAGGTGGGTCCCCCATCTCCCACCCCTGAGCATTCAGGACTTGTGGTTATTCTTGGGGTTCCCCTCCTTCCCAAGGTGTTTGCCCAACTCCCTCAAGGGATTCAGCATCCTGCTCCAGGGTCCCCTGTTTTTTAGACAGGGTCTCACTACATAGCCCAGCTTAGCCTCAAACTCGTTTCTGGCTCAACCTCCCAAATGCTGGGATTACAGGTGAGTTCCATCATGCCTGGCTATCCATTTAAAATTTGATATCTTACTCCCATGGATGTTTTACATTGATTTTGGTTTTTTACAAAATATTATATTAGGGCTGGGGTGTAGTTTAGTGGTAGAGCACTCACCTAATATGTGCAAGGCTGTGGTGGGTTCATCCCCGACACTGAAAAAAAATCGTGCCCATGCTATGTATTTTGATCGCTGAGTATTACATACTGTGTTCCAGGAGAGTGCCTAGGCCCTGGTACCCATTCCCCAGTTGGAGTAAAAGTGCCGTGTTGCCCAGCCTTTGTTTTGTTCCCCTCAGTATCTCTAGTGATCAGCAGAGTCTGGGTGAATAAGAGGTGCTCAATACATGCTTAAATGACAAATGAATGAGAAGAAAACAGCATTAGCAAATAGCTTCCGTGCATATACAAATGGGCACTTCCAGAAACCTGGGGTACACAGTTGGAGAAAATATAAAAATTTTTAAGAGCTGGGCACCAGTGGCCCACACCTATAATCTTTGCTATTCAGGAGGCAGTGATCAGGAGGATCAAGGTTTGAAGCCAGTCCAGGCAAATAATTCACGAGATCCTATCTCAAAAAAAATCCATCACAAAAAAGGACTGGTGGAGTGGCTCAAGGTCCTGAGTTCAAACCCCAGTACCACAAAAAAAATTTTAAGAGATGTTTTATAAAGTCAGTTGTGGTGTTTCACTCCTGTAATACCAGATACTTGGGAAGCAGAGGCAGGAGGACCTCAAGTTCAAGGCCAGCCTGGGCAAAGTTAGAGAGATTCTATCTCAAAAACAATACAAAAAAAAAAAAAAGAGCTGGAGTTATGACTCAAGTGGTAGAGTGCTTGCTTACAATGCATAAGGTCTTGGGTTCAATCCCCAGTACTGGGGGTAAGAGGGGGAGATATTTTATAAAAAATTACTCACTCTGGGCATGATAGCACGTGCCTATAATCCCAGCACTCAGGGCTGAAGGATCTCAAGTCTGAGGCCAGCCTGGGCTTCCTAGCGACACCCTGTCTAAAAGATATACATATATATATATATGTATATATATATATATATATATACACACACACATATACATATGGCAAGGGGTAGAACATTTGCCTACCATGCACGAGGCCTAGAGTTCAATCACCAGCACCAAAAAAAAGAAAAATGTCACCAAACCAGAAGCACGACTCCCTGTGCTTGTCACACTGAAATATCTAAGTGACTCCTTACCACTTCCATCCTCTTGATGAATTTAACTTAATTGAGGTCAGGTTGCTACCACCGCCCCCCCACCTACCATTTCCTCTTCCTTCCTTGGGAGGAAATGGTACACACTCTGGGCATCAGATGCAAATATTTAGCAAAAAGTTGCTAAAAGCTAAAAAAAAAAAAGTGTTGAATTTTATTGGAAAAATTTCCAGAAATTATCATCTATTAAACGAATCAGTGGAAGTTCACCCCATAACCATGCTCTTTCAGAAAAAGGAAGGAAGCTTCCTTTTTGCTAAGAACAGCATTTGTTATCATTTTGTACCCAAAGGTTTTGTGCTTGGTTCCTTGGTTTGAACTCATCTCAAAAAAAAAAGCAAGGGCAAGTTCACTGTCCACTCAAGAGTCTGTCGCTTAGGCAGGATTGAGTTAGAGCTTACAGGCATCAGAATGGTGCTTTAAAAGCTTCGGTAATAATCATTCAATAAATACATGCTGCAGTTATAATCAAGGGGAAAGTACTTTTGCCACGGCAACAACAACATTTTACTTGCCTCCCTGAACAATCCTCCTTCTTCCAACAACCCTCTCCTTTTGTTAGAGAACCCTGCTGGAAGACAGTTCTGCATGAGTCTCACTTTCGCACATCTCTGAGTAGAGCACGTGACATTTTGCTCTGGACCGTCTTTCCAAGGAGGTGGTAGCAAACAGTCTCAGAAGACAGAGACAGTGCTCTCCCAAGGAAGGGGGCAGGCTTGGTTTGCTGACAATGTAATAAAGATGACTCCCTCTGCACTTGATCTTGGCCAAAAGTCCAAGAAGCAATAATGATGGCTCTCTTGGAAGTGAGACTGGCTCAGCTCTGTTCAGAACCCAGTACAAAAGGATGGGGATCCCATGCTGAGGAGATGGCACAACTCCTTTGACAGGAGCCATGTGTGCACAGCTTCCACCTGAGCCCACCTCTGCGGCCCTGTGGGATATGAGGGGCGTGGGCAAATGATGTGAAGGTGAGGTGTACGCTGCTTGCCACACCGAGAGGCCCTCATCTCCATGCCAATTAAATTCTGTGCCAGCCTGCAGGCCTGGCCTTTGCTTGGTGCATGGGAACTTGGAATTTGGGAGGACTTTCACCATCCCAGAGTGGATAAGAATGGCTTTTGCTCCTAAACTGGTCAAACAGTAGGACTGTCATTGAACACAGCTTCCTTCTGGAAGTCTGGGAATCTGGTATGTGCCAGGCAGGGGATGCTTCCATGATCGCAACAGTGGATCAGAGGCTGTCATGAGAGCTGAGGCTCTCAGTTGTGGCTTAGCCATTATTAATAACTCACAGCGTGGTCACAGCTTGTTGCTGGAGGAATTCCACATGGGGCCATGTGTCCACAGGCATGTGTCCACTTGTTCCTGGAGTCCCCTGCAGTTTACCCAGGTGCCTCTGCCCTTTGCTGATTTTATGTTGTGTCCTTTTACTGAAATAAATCATAACTGTGAGTACAACTGGATTCTGTGTTCTATGAGTCTTCCTAGTGTCTCATTTGACCCAGGGGTCAAATGACCCAGGGCACCACAGCCCAGGATGACCCCAGAATCTCATGTCCTCTCTAGGCAGCCATGAAACTGAAGAGGACAGCTTGCTAATTTGAAGCAGGATAAAACTTCTCTCTCTCTCTCTCTCTCTCTCTCTCTCTCTCTCTCTCTCAGCACCCCATCTAAGCTACTGCAAGCAAAATTCATTTCCTTTCATCTTCACTTTGTCTCCCTTATACAACCTGGGGCAGCCTCTCACGATCCTGAGAGTTAATCCAGAGACTGGGGCACTGGAAACTCATCCTGGAGAGTTAAGCTGGAGGAGGGGGGCGAGAAATTGGTCTTTGACAGTGTTGCAGCCCCTGAAACAACCCTGGATCATTTAAAGATAGTGAGCCAATACATTTTCTCTGTCACCAAGACAGGCTAGGTATGGTTTTCCACCCCTTGGAACAGGACCCTGGCCAATGCAGTCTCTCTGCCAAAACCTTGCAAAGGTGGGGTCCTTCTTTTTAGGGCCCTGAGACTTCCTCAATAAAAATAACCATCTTGCTATAGTCAACATTTTGAAAGTGCCCATCAAATGCTAGATGTGGCACCACCGTGGGGCACAAAGCCCAGAGATGCTGTTTCCAGACTGTGGAGGTGTTTACATGACTGAGGGACACAGACCTGCAGGTAAGAGACACAGATCTTCCCAAGGAGAGAAAGGATGATGTAACCATAGCAAAATAATGAAAGATTCAGCTGCCAGGACAGGAAGAGGAGGTAGTTTGCTTGGAGGAGAGCTCAGGGCCACTTGTACAGCTGTACCCAGCACCAGGTATCCTGTGCATATCACGCCTTCCTGTCTGCCCCCACCCCTGACCCCAGGTGCTGGTTTTGCTTTCCAATGTCAGGTGGACACCCGAGAATTTGGGATCCTGGCATCTCCCTGGAGATTCCCATGAGAAGCATTTGAAGGACAAAAGTACATATCCAAGACTTTACATGGCACCAGAATTCAAGTCATGTGGATCAAAGACTTTTCTAGATAAAGGATTGCTGCAAATGATGTTTAAATTCATGATTATATTTAAATAATATTTGAGGGGCTGAGGGCATGGTTAGAGTGGTAGAGCACTTGTCTAGCAAGCCTTGAGGCCCTGGTTCAACCCCTAGTACTGCCAAAGAAAAAAAAGAGAAACCTAAAAAATAATAATAATAATATTACAGACTGTAATAGATTTAAGAGTGCTGAAGTCTAACCTTTTTCTAAATGAACAGTAGAATTTATCAAGAAAGACAGAAGGATGGCCACATTCATAAACAAAATAGGTTAGTACAGGACCCAACACAGCACGTTATGTTCAGATTCAACATCCATCTTTAATTAGATAAGATAGGGTAGCAAAAATACATATTTATATACTGGGGCTGGGGTCTATCTCAGAGGGAGAGCACTCACTTAGCAGTGTGAGGCCTGGGCTCAATTGCTAGCACCACACACACCACAGGCACACACACACACACACACACACACACACATATATATATATATATGTACGCAGATACTTAATTTGTACCAATCTCACAGAATTAATTCAACCCAATATGAAAACATTTCATTTTCTAATAGCTACAACAGAAATTAATCATTGAAAATAAGCTCCCTTCCTTCCCGAATCTACTTTCTAATAGCTGATAGACTGTGGAAGTTTGTCACTCTGTCACCCAGACTAGAGTGTGAGCTGTATGAGGGCAGGGCCTCTGACACACTGCTGTAACTCCAGCCCCTGCAACTTGATTTTAGCTGGTGCCCAGTAAAAAGTGTTGAATGAATCAATGCAAACCATGCACAGGTTCAACTAACACAAAATGACTTCTACCTCCCACTTCAAACACAGACACCATAGACCTGGCCCGGGATGGTCCTTAATTCCGGATTCTCTTTCCTGACACCCCTGGGGTGAAGTCAGTGTCCTGGGGTTGCTCAGCCACTTGGCAATACCCGCTCTGGGCACCTGGCTGTTTGCACTCATCTGCGGATGCCAGTCTGGCTTTCCCATGGGACAGAGTGGCACGGGTTGCGGGTGTGGAGCGAGCTCAGTTCCACTCCGGGGAAGGAGGAGGAAGGCTTCATTCCAGCGTCCCTCTGAGTTGCCGCGCGTGATGCTCCAGCTTCCTCGCCTGGGCCTGGAGATGCTCCAGCGCCGCAGGGCTCGGGTACTTGAGCACGGCGTCCTTGGTGGCCAGTGCGAGGTCCTTGAGCAGCCCGCACAGGTGACTGCTGCTGCGGAGGAGCTCGTTGCGGGCGTCCTGCTCCTGGGTCTCCTTGCACAGGGTGTCCACCAGCTTCTGCCCCACCACGATGACCAGCTTGCCCTGGGTGATGAACACCTCAGGAGGCTGGCTGTTGCTGAGGCTGCTGCTAAAGACCCCTATGGCTTTGAAAAGTGCCCCAAAATAGAGCCGGCAGTGTTCAGAGAGGTGGGCTTTCATCTCAGTGTTCTGCTGACTGAAAGGTTGGGGTGTCCTAGAGCTAAGGCCCTGGAGAACAGGAAAAAGAAAACGGATAAGAGATGGGTTGATTAGCAGGTGTGGTTTTCTTTCCTTTCCTGTTTCTGCTTCCTTTGCAAGAACTTGTATAAGATAAAAAGCACAGTTTTGTTAGGGAAATCCAACACTGCAACATTTGTCTAACAAATAAATGTTACCATTTTCAAAGCACATATAACCCCATATACAGAAGCTTGCCTTATATATTGTAACACACAAGTGTATATAATTTTATCTAACCATCTCAGAAAACCACAAGAAGTCCATTCTAAGGACCGCATGGACTTTGAGTCCAACAGTGCAAGAGGGGAGCCAGGCATGGTGGCACAGAGTGTAATCCTAGCACTCAGGAGGCTGAGACAGGAAGATCATGAGTTTGAAGCCAGCCTGGGTTGCATACATGGCAAGACCTGTCTCAAAAAAAAAAACAAAAACAAAAAACAAAACTCAAAGTACAAGAAGGGGCTGGTGGGGGTGGGGGTGTGGCTCAGTGGTAGAGTCAGTACTTACCCAGCACCAAGAAGAAGAAGAAGAAGAAAAAAAAGAATACAGAAAGAAAGAAAATAAGGTGAGAAAACTTGATGGTGAGATTTAAAATTTTTACTCCAAGAATAGATTTTAAAACACTTAAAAATCTTTTGTACTTATAGTATCAGAGGATATACTCTTTTATCTGTCTTAGTATTAAAATTTTTATTTGGAGCTGACATGTGGCTCATGCCTGTTATTCCAGCTACTTGGGAGGTGAAGATGAGAAGGATCTTGGTTTGAGGCCATCCTGGGGCAAAAAGTTATCAAGACCCCATCTCAAAAAATAAGCCAAGCCAGCCCAGGCAAAGTCAAGGCCCTATCTGAAAAATAAACTAAAGCTAAAAAGGGCTGTGTGTGTGGGAGGTCCAAGTGTAGCAACTGCCTAGGTAAGCATGCAGGCCCTGAGTTCAAACCCCAGTACTGAAGAAAACAAAAAAAACAAAACAAAACAAAAGCCTTTACTTATTTGTTAAGCAAGGTTCCATCAAAAATTTTACTTTCAAGCCAGGTGACCGTGGCTCACACCTGTAATCCTAGCTACTTGGGAGGCAGAGATCAAGAAGATTGCAGTTTGAGGCCAAGCCAGGCAAATATTTCTGAAGGCCCTATCTCGATGATACCCAACACAAAAAAGGGCTGGTGGAGTGGCTCAAGTGGTAGAGCACCTACTCAGCAAGCATGAGGCCCTGAGTTCAAACCCTAGTATCACCAAAAAAAAAAAAAAAAAAAAGTTACTTTCATCAATTTCACCTTCCGGAAAATGGAATTAACGTCTCCCCAAAGCACTACACCATAGAAGGACTGTCACAGTGAAATGTAGTGGTGACCGTTCCATAGCAATCCAGAGCCCATCTGATGCTTTTTACTTACTTTGTGTGTGTGTGAGGAGCTGGGGTTTGAACCCCTGGCCTTGCACATGCTAGGCAAATGCACTGCCATTGGGATACACCTGAGCCTTCTTTTGCAGTTTTATAGATGAGGAAACTGAGATCAGAGCACAGGCTGACAGAAGGACTGGAGGACAGAGTGCAATGGTTCTTCTCTTGACCTCTGCACCCTCTGTTTGCCGGTGACACACTAAGGCAGACAGGCCTGGGAAGAGGGTTTTTCAGAAGTGAGCTGTGTCCCCAGTGGCTGGTGGGCTTGGGAGTCAGTCAAGGAGGAGGGAAGCACACTTTGAGATGCATATTTGTTGTTAGAATTTCACTTTGCAGAATGAAAACCATGATTACTTCCAGTACAAAGTGAGGGAAAGGTAGTGGTGGTGTGTGGGGGAAGGGGGGAGTTGAGACAGGCTCTGGCAGCAGGGAGGAGGAAAAGAGCCAGGCCAAGGCTAGGAGCAAGGAGAAGCAGTGATCTAGATGCTGGTTCTTACCATCTTAGCCTAAAAATAGCAACTGTAGTTGGATGAAAAACACATGCTGACCCCTTAACCAGGGGCAGGCGAACATGTGGAGGCAGTTCTGGTTGTCACCCTGACAATGGACTGCTGTGGGCAGTGAGTACACAGAGGGCTTGGGACGCTGAGGCGAAATGCCTCACATGGGGAACTGTCCCCTGTGGCCACTGTGCCCCTGCCCTCACTGAGGAAACCCTGCCAGTCTAAAGCAGGGGCTTTCCAGCTATGGCCCCTGGGCCAGCAGCCTCAGCCTCAGCATCACCTGGGCTTTTTTTTTTTTTTTTTTTGGAGACAGGTTCTTACGATATAGGCAAGTTGGCCTTGAACTCCAGATCTTCCTGCCTCTACCTCCTGCGTGCTGGGATGACAAGCATGCACCATCTTGCCTGGCTTATCACCTGGGAGCTTGTTAGGAATGCAGAGACTTGGGCTCCTCCCACACCCACTGAATCAGAAATTCAGAGAGGGGCCCAGTCATCAGAGTTTCAGAACGACCTTTCAAGTGTGGGAACCACCAGCAGAAGGTAGACTTCCCATTGAACAGAATTGCAAGGCGTTCAGCAACATGGCAGGCCCAAAGTTTATTTTAGGAGCTTGGGGACTGAGCGTGAGGCGACCTAGGTTCTTGCCATGGTTTGTCTCTGAGAAGGCATACAAACTTGTCTATGTCATTGGACATCTCTGTCCTTCCCTGCCCCGACCACCTGCCTCACAACCTTAGTTGTTGAGCTGGTTCACAGTTTCCCCAGCTTCAGTAATTCAAAGACAACTTTCACAAGCTATACTTTTCTTGCCCCTCTCAACAGCCACTGGCTTCAAATTTTGTCTTCAAATGGAGCCATTTAAACATGTTTTCACTTCAATCAGTTTAGAGGAAACATTTGAAGATGGTCAGTGGAAAAATACTGTCATTTGCAACAAATAAAGGCTAACCACCAACAACACAAAGGTGCAGTGATAATATCTTTGATTTAAAGAGAAATAGAGGCTGGAGGTGCAGTTCAAATGGTAGAGCACCTGCCTAGCAAGTGCAAAGCCCTAAGTTCAAACCCCAGTACTGCCCCCTCAAAAAAATTTTAAAAGGAAGTAGATTAAGTATCAAAGAGGTGTTGAAGATACACAAGATACACAAACCCCAAACCAACAGATTGTGTTGATGTGATAATCAGAAACATTAAAGGTGATTGCCCCCAGAGACTGTCCCTGTGTCATTTAATGCCATGTCAGGAGTACCCATGATAAACTTGCAGAGGACCTGGAATCCTGTCACTAGCTAAGGGCTCAGGCACCACACGCTGAGCTCTCCAGGGTGCCCTCCACTGAATAAAAAGAAAATCCAGATCTCCAAAGCATATTTATCAGAACCGTTGGAGAGTGACTGCGGAGCTTACTGTTGTGCCTGAGCCTTTGTTTCCATCTGATCTTTGTTCCAAAATGGATTTTTCTTTCTCTTCTAGGTTAGGTAACTTCTAAGAAATAAAATCTCTTCAAAGTACCAACTCAAATGGTTTTTACATTTCACTGTTGAAGTGTGAGTATTCTTCCTTCTGATTTGTCTGTGGTCCTGCCTACCAGTGCTTTTTTTCAACCAAAGGAGGCTTTGGGGCCCACATAGTTTTAAAAAATTATATATAAAAGTCGGGCATGGTGGTTTGCATCTGTAATCCCAGCTACTAGAGAGGGAGCCATAGACAAGAGGATCATTAGTTCTAGACCAGCACAGGCAAGTTAGGGAGATCCTGTCTCAGAAACAAAATACAAACAAAAGGTTTGAGGAGAGGCCCAACTGGTAGAGCACTTGCCCAGCAAGCCCAAATCCCAGGATTTAGTCCCTTCCAAATATACATGGAAATTAAAAATATTCAAATTTCTAGAATGTGTTAAAGCTCTCATGTCACCAGCATTTCAGCAGAACCCCAAGGCCAGGGCTGAAAGGGCCAAACATCCCCCTGACACAGTGCCTAGGGGCCTGCTGGGCATCTGGAGGGGTAACCCCTGAACTCAGGTCTGAATGTATACAGCTAAGTTTTTTTTTTGTTTTTGTTTTTGGTGGTACTGGGGCTTGAACTCAGGGCCTACACCTTGAGTCACTCCACCAGCCCTTTTTATGACAGGTATTTTTGAGATAGGGTCTCGAGAACTATTTGCCTGAGCTGGCTTTGAACCATGATCCTCCTGATCTCTGCCTCCTGAGTAGCTAGGATTACAGGTGTGAACCACTGGCTCCCAGCAGTACTGGAGTTTGAACTCAGGGCTTCATACTTGCTAGGCTGGTACTCTACCCCTTGAACCATGCCCTGAGTCCTATTTGCTTTAGTTAAGTTTTCAGATAGGGTCTCACTAACTCTTTGCCTCAAACCAAAATCCTCCCAACTCCACCTCCCAAGTAGCTGGGATTACAGGCATGAGTAACCACGCCCAGCTCAGCAAAGTATTTTTAAGAGTGACTGGCACCTGGATGGATGGAGGCTGATCAGGTCATGAACAATTAGGAAGAGACTTAATACACCTCTTTTCTGTTTCTAAGAAAATATGCTGAAAAATTAAAAGTAATAAAAAAAGAAGAAAAAGAAACTATGGTGACAATGACTAAATTTATGGCAGAGAAATTTGGTAAAAAGATTTTAAAAATCTACTCAAAAGCTTTTTAAAAGACTTTTAAAATCTTTTCTGATTCTACTGTCAGAGACAAAACTGAATCCCAAATTTCTAGAGAGAGCCAACTCTGATGAGCTCTCAGCCCTAATACTAAAATATTTATCTTGCTTCCTAATAAGATTTTCTCTGGAACTTCACTCCCATGAATTTTGTTTTCTGGGTAATGGAATCAATGTCTCCCTGGAACCTGTACACATTGATATGGAGTCCAGGGGGCACCATGCTGGTGACTGCCAAAGCCCTTCTGTCCCACTGGGAACTCTGAACTCACCTGTGCACAGACACTTGTCCCACTTTTCCTTACCAGGTCAGGGGAGGATTCATCTTCCTCTTGCCTATTCAAAGGACCACTCTTCTGGTGTGACTCAATTTCCCTCTGGGGAAGCTGAATGCACTTTCCACACTTCGGTTCTGCATTTGGAGTTAATTGCACAGTCTCTTCTTTCTCACAGTTCTGCTTAAAAAGAAGCTTCCCGTTGGCAATGACGATGGAGGTGAACCTCTTGACGTCTTCAGGAACCATCCGAGCCACCATGACGAACCTCTCGAGGTCATCTGGGCTGTTTTGGACTTTATCTGTCACAAGAACTTCTAGAGACCAATTGCAGCTGTCTAGGCCTCCCTTAGATTCCAGCAGGCTCTGGTAGGAGGTGGAGATGGTCCGGAGCTGATCCCGAATTCTGGCCTGAAGGTGACTGTCGGTGAGGTTGCAGGCGGTCCCATGAATTCCTTGGGCGAAATCCAGAAATTGTCTTACTGATTCTTCAGTGTGGTCAGCAGCTCTGTGAATAGCCTTGATGTTAGCCTCTAGAGAGTCTCTGAACCTCCACTTCCTACTCACAAAGAGCAGCAGGCCTGCGACAGAGCTCACCACCTTGTGCTGCAGGCCCATCGCTGTCTCCTTGGCCAAGTCCAAGTCCAGGGAGAGCTCCTTGGCTGACTCCTCCAAGGAGGAGCTGGAGGACGAGTCTGTGGACGCAGAGGAGCATGAAGACACAATGCTAGCTCTGCCGTCAGAGCTGGAAACGGATAACTGGTCGGGTTCAGGAGATCCAGATGCTGTCTGCCTAGAGAACCAGGAGGAATTGCAACCCACGGAGCTCCCTGGAGCATCTGGGCCCTTTCCTGGCTCAGTCCCAGCCCGAGGCACACTTGGCATTGCTTTGGGGATATCATAGATGTTGGGCTTGGTGTTCTGCTGCTCCACTCGGGGAACCAGAAAACTGGAGGGCACCTTGTAGCTGATGCCTGCATCGGAAGGGAGCATGTCCCTGGGTGCTAGGCAGGCACAGGAAGGGACTTCTGGAAGGCTGAATTTTTTTGGCATGTGCATATTGTCACAGCGCTGTGGAGGGAGGCTCCTGGCTCTGCTACTTGGACTGGCGATGGGGGAGATGGAAAGGGGAGCAGTGTATGACCCTTGTTCCTTCTCAAAGCTGGTTAGAGATGTATTTCTGACACTGGCTTTTCCCGCAGACACTGGGGTGTCATAAATCCATTCTGATTTCTGAGGGTTTGGCACCGTGCTGTAGCCAGCTCTTCCCAAGGCAATCGCTGCCGTCAGGGGAACGCTCTGCTCCTGAGGAAGAGACACAAGCAGTTATCCAGGTTAGTAGCCATAAAAAGAGAGCTTGAGTGACTCATTGCAGTCTGACTGTCACTCCCCTGTCAAGTACCTTCAATGGTTCCCCACTGCTATTAACACTCAGATTGACTTCACCTCTTTTTGAGACCCTTTGTCTCCACTTCCACCTCCACAGCCCTTTTTGTCTGCCATCCCCACCTTGTACACCCAGTAACCTATGCGGTTTACCTCCGGAGCTCTCAGTACTTACTCATGCCCTGGGTGTAACTCTTCCCAGACTGGTTCCTCTCCTCTAAATGCCCTTTGACCTTTTTTTTTTCCATCTAACGAATCCTTCTGCATCCCCCATGATCTTGCTGAAATGCTGCGTCTTTTGTAAGGCTTCCCCAAGTATCCTTGGGCAAAAGTGTATTTATGGGACACGTGGCAGAATCCAGTGACAAGCACAGATTACATTTTAAATGAAGTCACTTCCCATATGCAAAGAAAAGGGACACATTGCAGCACACCACGTCTTAGGTGTCTTGTAATAAGAAGCAGCCATCTAACATTTGCTGAGCTCTGGCTCTGTGCCAGGCACTGTACCGCTGCCCCCACTGGTGGGAAACTGAGGCATGGCTCACTCTGTTACTGAGCTCTTAGGGACTTTGCCTCAAATGCAATAAGGTTTGTTAGAAGGGCTTTGCATCTGATTAGTGATCAAGTGGTATTACTTAGATCTGAAATGTCCCTCAAAGGCCTGTGTGTTCAAGGCTTGGTCACCAGCCTGTGGTGCTATTGGGAGGTGGTGGAGCCCTCAGGAGGGAGACCCAGTAGAAGGAAATTAGGTCATTAGGGGAGTGACCTGGAAGGGGATATTGGGGCTCCATTCCTCTCTCTTTGCTTCTCGGCCACCATCAGGCAAGTGTCTTTGATATATTCCCACTGTTATGGTTTGATATGAAATGCCCCTCACAGGCTCAGATGTTGGGCACTTCTTCCCCAGCTGGTGTGCTATTGAGAGGGTCTGATAACTTCAGGAGTGGGACCTAGCTGGAGGAAGTAGGTCCACAGAGGCGGGTCCTCAGGGGTAGCTTGTCCTTGGCCCTCTCCTGCCTCTCTTTGCCTCCTGTCCACCATGAGGTGGGTGGCTTCTGTCACATACTCCCGTTGGTATATTCTGCCCTGGTACATGGGCCCAGCAACCATGAACTAAACTCTCTAAGACCATGAGAGAATAAATAAATAAATAATTCCTCCCTTTAATTTGATTATGTCAGAAATGTCATCATAGTGACACAAAAGTAACGAATACACCAGCTGTGATGATCCACACCACCACAGGCTCAAAAGTAACCACAACCAACCATGGGCTGAAACTGTGAGCCAAAACAAACCTTTTCTTCTTATAAGTTGTTTCTCTCAGGTATTTTGTCACAGTGACAGAAAACTAACTCATCAAGCTAATAAAATTTCCCAGAGGATATTTAGTTTTCATAGCATCACATCCCAGCACTGTTCATACTCACGCTTGCCTGACTGGTCAGGGCATGGGGACTGGCTGGTATGTCGTATAACTGCTGCTTCTCTGGATCCTAGAGAAAGAGCACAAAGGAGGACAACTTAGACTTTTCCTTCCTAACAGCTACCAGCACAAACTTTCCACCCAGCAGTGGTTTTTCCAAGGAAAGAGATAAATCCCTGACTCGAATGTTAGAGTCCCTGCCTGCCTAGCAAGTGTGAGACCCTGAGTTCAAACCCAGTACCACCAAAAAAACATACAGGAGATGATGGGTCCCTAATATTTGGGGCTCATGGTCACAGTTCTCTTCAGATGAGGTCTGTGTGCTGAACTGAGTGACAGTCAATAGCGGACTTGGTGCTTTGAAAGGTGCCTTCTTCACTGAGGGTGGGGGAGAGCCATAGCACTCACTGCAGCTCCTGCGTTAAAATCAATAGCTCAGCAGAGCGCCAGTGGCTTATGGCTGTAATCCTAGCTACTCAGGAGGCAGAGATCAGGAGGATCATGGTTCGAGGTTAGCTTGTGCAAATAATTCTTGAGAGCCTATCTCTAAAAAATCCATCACAAAAAAGGGCTGGTGGAGTGGCTCAAGGTGTGTGCCCTGAGTTCAGATCCCAGTACAGAAAAAATCAACAGTTCATCTTGAAGAAGTTAGGTTTTAAGACTGAATGAAGCCAGAAAGGAGTGAAGTTGATTTTTGATGACATGAAGCAGGTCTTACAAATTTGACATACAATTATGTACAAGTAAGTTCTTAAAAAAACAACTAAAATTTCTTCTCCCAGAGGTAATCAATGTTTAGATAATCAAATATAACCAGGATTAAGACGGATGTATATCCCTAAGATTTTATTTAAGGGCTGGGGTGTGGCTCAAGAAGGAGAGCATCTACCTTGCAAGTGCAAAGCTTTGCGTTCAAACCCCAGTACCACCAAAAAAAAAAAAAAAAAACCATTATTTTTAAGGGCTAGAGATTTGGATCAGTGGTAGACTGCCTGCCTAGCACATCCTGAGGCCCTGGATTCAATCCCCAGAACCACACACACACACACAAAAAGAATATTATTTTTCTTAAAAGAATGCATGTGTATGTATATAAGTAAATGCATAACAAAACATCTATTACAAATGAAAAGTAAACTCTCCAAAATATATGGAATTCCAACAGATTTAAGTAATCCTAAGTAGGTATAAGGAAGTAATGAAGCCAACCATGATCGGTGATATATGAGTTGGAGTTTATGCCCTTAAAGACCTCTTGGCACAGAAGCTCTGGGGGGAGCAGGACTGGAACAAGACTTACCTTAAGGGTTTTGAGGACCCGGCTCTGAGCAGGCACGTCATACACCTGGGAAGGCAGAGTTGCAAATGAGGCCCTTGCAGGCCTGGGAAGCATGAAGAGGGCCTTGAAGAGAAAAAGAAAAGAGCACAGGAAAAGGAAACATTAGGATGATTGTCAGTCATGTTCAAAGTTAATCTCAAACAGCAAGGACGGCCTAGCAGATGCTGTTGAGAGTTTGCCCTGCACCACTAATGGACAGATCCTTCACTCTGGAGATTGGAAATCGCAGGACGCTGGTGGGGAGGCTGCCTGCCTCAGCCTCACCTGGGAAGCAGGTTAGTATGCAGATTCCTGGGCCTCAGGCCTGGCAAATCTGAGCACTGAAGGTACTTGGGGAGCCTGACGTAGAAACAAGCTTGCCCTGTGGTTCTGAGGTTTCTACAGATGGGGAGGCTGGCTTTCTGACATGGAGTTATTCATGTACTCATCTAAGGAGAGAGATGGAGTGTGGAAGGTTACAGGGTGGGTAAATCCCTCGTCCTTCTGAGGCAGGATTCACCATGGATCACATGTCACTCCCTGGGAGCACTTGCTCAGTTTCTGCTCACAGGCTGGGGTATGGCTCAAGTGGTAGAGCGGCAGCCTAGTTTCTGCTCGTGCTGGTGCATGGAGCCCAGGCCTGGGAGGGGGATAGCAGGGTTCCACTGCTCCTGTGAAGCACACTGCTGTTTACTCCATGTCCGACAGCATGCTGGGGGCTGCAGGGCAGTGGCTTCCATCCGTGGTATATCTGGTGAACTTCAAAATAATCCAGATGCCAGGGCTTCCACTTCAGACCTCTTGAACCTGAACATCTCTGAGCAGGACCTAGGAATGGGTGGATTTTTTTTTTTTAATAGGGTAGAGGCTGGTGGCTGCCAGGGACTTAAAGTCCAAAGGGAAAGGAAGTAGGATTTGAGCACACCTAGGTCACAGGCTGGGGAGTAAGATGGGGCTGGGAAGAAAGGCAAAGCTGAATTTCCCATTGCTCCCAGGGAAGGGGAATGTACATTCCACCTGGGTTCCCAGGAACCTGTCATTGAGTAGGGAGCCTTTCCAAGTTGGACCATGGGAGCCATCAGGGTTAAATGTGGAGCCCGGGAATGACAATCCAGGTGGAGGAGCAGCTTTTGAGGACCAGGTCAGGGTCCCTTCCTTCATTGCAGTGTCCCCAGGACCCAGCACTGGAATGGCACAGGTTAAGTGCTGGCATTTATTCGTTTGCTTTTAATAAATGAATATGTACAACTTGAGGCAGTAAAAATTAGCTTGAGGTGTAAAAACCCCACCTGACTATTTATCAGGTTGCAATCATAGTTGCTGTAACTAGGGCAGCTATGACGTCAATAGAGCACATTTTCTTCTTCTTCTTTTTTTTTCAGCGCTGATGCTGAAGTCAGGTCTTAAGCTTGCTAGGCAGGCACTCTATTACTTGAGCCACTCTGCCAGCTCTTTTTTGTATTGGGTATTTTCAAGATAGGATCTCTTGAACTATTTGCTAGGTCTGGCTTCAAACCTTGATCTTCCTGATCTCTGCTTCCCGAGTAGCTAGATTACAGGAGTGAGCAGCTGGCTGTTTTTTTGTTGTTGCTATTGGTTTGTTTGTTTTGCAGTACTGAGGTTTGAGCTCAGGGTTTTGCACGTGCTAGATAGGTGTTCTACCACTTGAGCCAAACTTCCAGCTCTTTGTGCTCTGGTTATTTGAAGATAGGCCTTTTTGCACAGGGCAGCCTGGACCACAATCTTCCCATTTTAGGCTTCCTACCACTGCTGGGAAGAAAAAAGCTGGAATGACCACTCCCAACTTTTTCTATTGAGATGGGGGTCTCACAAACTTTTTGCTACAGCTGGTCTGGAATCACGGTCCTCCAAAGCTCAGCCTCCCAAGTAGCAAGGATGACAGGCATGAATCAATATGCTCAGCAGGACCCTTTCTCCAGGGACACACTGTGGTTGTCAAGGATCTAACAGTTCCCTTCTTTGAGTGATGACCACTTTCTTACTTGCAAAGAAATGTGGTTCTATAAAATCCTGAGCTCTGGGAAGCAGAGCTCTCTGGAGTGCTCTGGTTAAGCAGGAAACATCCCACTTATGCCTAAATCAGCTACACAGAGGAGTGGACCCTCCCCTCCAAATCCTGCCCTGTGCAGAGCCTCAGCTAAGGGGGATCATCCCCTGCATTCTACCTCTGTCCCCACTTTGTGCAGCCTGGGCTGATGCAGCCCCTTTGAGCCTATCACAATACTGTTTTCATTATATTTCACCTAAATCCCACCATGCCTGTATCCCATAATTACACCACCATAATTTTCCTCCTGTTTGTGAGATGCCTCAAAGGTTCTGTGCTCTGTGATTTTCTTCATTACAGTCAATAACCTTGATTTTGTCCCTGGTGGTCCTAGGCTGACTGGAACAAGACCAATCCCATTGCATTTTGAACTAAAGTCCAAGCTCCTAACCAGGACTAAGATGTCACCCACCGTCCAAGCCTAGAAATCATACAGGAGCGTCCCTAACCATCAGCTGCCCTCTGAGTCCTCTCCCTTCCAGCCCTACTGATCCCAACACAAAGGTGTCTCCCTTTCCAAATGCTTCTCCCTTGCCCATCACTGTCCCATTTTCCCTACATGGTCACCTTTGTGGATCACACATGCCTGCAAGAGTACCTATAGCTCAGGGACTTTCCTGTGTGTGGCTTTTCAGATGCAAGGACGCCACTTCAAAAATGCCCAGTGTTTCTTGGAAAAATGTAGGCTGCAGATAGCAATCAATTAAGGAACATGTCTGAGAAATGCAGTTTCGAAAGACCTTAGGAAGACAGAAGGAAGTTAAGTTCAGGAACTAGAGGGTTTAAGAACAACTTCACCAGGAAATCTGACCCTTTATTTGAAGTACCAGAGGCCGCTCTGAGAATTTAAACTGAAATCAAATATGTTTATGTGGTCTTTTTTTTTTTTTTAAAGTCACACTTGCACATTATATTAAGGAAGTTAGAATGAAAAACAAAACAAAGCTCAAGTTAGTGGTTGCCCTGAGGGAAGTGACAGGGGATGGGGGGCTTCTGGGGTTCTGGTTTTGTTCATTATCATGGTTGGTGTCAGTGGCAGAGCTGTGCCCTTGGATCTGAAGGCGAAACTTTTACAAGAAGCTCAATGGAAAGAGAAGCTTCAGCCAGAGCCAGGTTAAAGGACACAGGGAACCACCTGTGAGGACAAGGGTTCTGTCTTTGGGGCACCACAGGCAGAAGGGCACAGTGGGACTTGGAAACTTTAGTCACAGTGCTATATTCACAGGCTCATGAGCCTGGATGGAAAGTGTTACCTCCTGGGGACCAGTCTCCTCCTGCGTAAAATGAAGAACTGTTCTAATCCAAAGGGTCCACAGAGGCCTCTTCTAACTACAAGGGTATCTGATTACGACACAGACACCACTCTCAGGACAACTTGAGAAAAGACACACGTTTCTACCATCTTGGTTTTTAATTTTGGGCCAACGAATCTAGAGATGGTCTACACAAGTCTACAAGGAGTCCATGAAATGACTCTCCCCAGTTGTGGCCCAAGCCTGTAAACTCTCCACTGGAAGACAGCTCAAAGCCAAGGGCTTGGACTTGTCTGGCTCTGTCAGTAACTGCTCCTACTTGAAACATTTTTCTCAGCAGTCTCAGACTCAGGGATAAAGGTGAGATACCTGAGCAGGGAAAAGGTGCTTGCTTTGCCTTCAGCAGCAAGGCAACCTCTTGGTTGCCACAGAGGCACAAGCAAGTGGTAGACACTTCGTGTCAAGGACAAAGCTTACAGCTAATGCCCTAACCCTCTTTCTCAGTTAAGCTTGGATGGTAAACTCATCTTTCCCGTCACACCAATGGCAATCTGGGAGTTCATGGTGAGGTCTGTCTTTCTGAAGTCTTATGCTGGGTCGGATCACTTCATGCATTCAACAAAAACTCACTGAGCGCCCACAGGAAACTGGCACTGAGTTGGGTGTGGGTACCCAGCCACAGTGGGCATCACAACTGGTTTCCTTTCAGAGAGAGGGGGGATTTTTTTTCTTTAGTGGTCTTAGAAAGAAATCCAAATTAACTTCAGCTAGTATGACTTGCTCTTAAAAGAAACACTGACAAGGCCCCACTCCAAGTCAGCTGCTCAGATGGCAGCTGAGATGCCAGGTGGAGACTGGGCCAGTTGTTCCAAAAAAGCAGGGGAGGGTCCACCTGGTGGATTGCTTCTGAAGGCCTAGCCGGCTTCCTCCTTTTCTCGTAGTGTTTGGAGCCAGCTCCTGCGTGTAGCTGTTCTGTGTGACGGCTGTCTGGTTGTATGCCTTGCGGCCCTGAAGTCAGGAAATCTGAAGAGTTCAAAATCTTTGAAGGAACCAACACCTTCCCATTTGGAAGGAGGTGCAGAGGGGGCTGTGTGGTGAATAGCATGTCCCAGGGTCCCTACACAGGTCTTGACACAGACCTTGTCAAGACCTCTGCCAGAGCTGTGGCCAGGTGGAACGTGTCATTTAAAAGAAAGCAAAAGGATGGCAGGAAATGCCACCTGCTCTTTGCTCCTAATGCCTGGAAAGCCTGGGCTTGGGGAAAGCACACTTCACTTTCCTCCTTTCTTCTTTTAATTCCTCTCCTTATTTTCAAAAAAAGTTTCCACTATACATTCACTAAGTGCTTTTTCTCCTCCATTTTTAAAATAAGCTATGTGAGAAACATTGCAGACGTTGTACGTGTTCAACAGAACACACAAATCAACTTCCTGATCTATTTGTTCAAATATTTATTGAGCTCTTGCCCCCATGCAAGTTGGTGCTAGGTACTAGTGACACAGGACACAATAAAGCAATGGTCCCTGCTTACTGCCTTCTTTCACTTTCTCCTTAATCAGTTCCACTTCTCAAGGGGGAGCCACTCCTGGGTGAGTTCTTCTGGGCTTTTCCTATCTGTGAGCAAGGATGTGTTTCTGCATGCACACATGTGCACACACATACATGAATGTACGTATACACACATACCTGCACACAAAATGTTTTTTGAGTTTTGGTTTGTTTGGTCTTTGGTTATTAAATGGTTCTTTCTTCTCTGTTACAAATACCTCATTCTTCATACTTCTATGGTAGTTTGCCATGGGGATACACCAACATTTCTGCAACTAATCCTCTTGTGTTTTTTTTTTGTTTGTTTTTGGTGGCACTGGGGTTTGAACTCAGGGCCTTATACTTGCTAGGCAGGTACTCTGACTGCTTGAGTCACACTGCCAGCCCCATACACAAGCATTTAGGCATCTTTTGTTTTTCCCTAACACAAATGATGCTATGGCAGAGGCAGGAGGTTAGAGAGTTTGAAGCCAGCCTGGGCTACACAGTGAATTCAAAGTCAGTTTGGACTGCATAATGAGATCCTATCTCAAAACCAAAACCAAAACCAAAACCAACTTCCCCCAAGCCCAGATGATGCTGTAATGGCATGGCCTCTTCATCCAGATCTCCGTTTGCCTTCTCGAGTATTTCTACAGCACTTCTAGAAGTAAATTTTCTGAGAGGAAGGACCATGCACTGAGGTGTGATGAATAACTTCTTGCCTTCTGTGTAATGGAAATTCAACACTTTTGTGATCGTCAGGGTGTGATGGGGTCACTGGGAATATCCCCAGTGCTGTCATGCACAGCTCCACTGAGCCCTCCACTGACTGCACAGAGCAGCCAGTCTTCGTGACCTGGGCACACACAGGGGTGCCAAGAGCAAGAATGTCAGAAGAGGGCACTGGGCCAAGAGCACCAGTTCATCCATCTTGAGCCCTGGTGCTCTGCGTTCCAGTTTTCACAGTTGATCTGATGGATGACAATGAGCTCGGTGGTGGTGGGGTGGGGGGCGGTGATCAGGTGCCAGTGGCTCACACCTGTGATCCTAGCTACTCAGGAGGCAGAGATCAGGAGGATCATGGTTCAAAGTCAGTCCTGGCAAATAGTTCGAGAGTCCCTATCTTGAAAAAACTCATCATGAAAAAGGGCTGGTGGAGTGGCTCAAGGTATAGGCCCTGAGTTCAAGATCCAGTACCACAAAAAAAAAAAAAAAAAAGAAAAGAAAAGAAAGAAGAAAAAGAAAAAAAATGAGGTGAGGGGTAGTGAAGCTGCCCCTGGGTATTTTCATGCCCTTGACCCTTCTCCTTCATTGGGAAATGTGCTTACCTGGGCAGGGAAGCTCAGAGTCTTTTCACAGATGATTCTGGCACTGGATGGTGGGTCAGGAAATTCATAGACTTGGGCAGCTGCTGGCGGGGACCCCTCCACCCAGCTCTTCATTGGCTCATATACAGGGCCTGGGGGCAGAGGGTGGAGCAGGGTGGGCACCTCATATGTGTCCTCTGAGCTGGTGAGATCTTCCAGGCCTCTCAGGAATGGGGGACAGGGTTTATCCGAGGGGGCCTCCAGGAGGATTTGGAGGCGGTTGGCAGGGGCCAGGCCTTGCCTCCCATGAAGCAAACACTTCCACCAGCCCTCACTTTCTGGCACATTTTGCTCCAGAATGGTCAGGATGTCTCCTCTGGAGAAGGCTAGCTCATCACAACAGTCAGGGTGGTTGTCATAAAGTGCCCTGGCCAGCCGCATCTGTTGGGGGGAGGAGGAAGAAGAGCATTTGTTGTTTTAACTGTTGTCCATGATCCCATCACATCACATGCCACTCAGAAATCACTGTGCACGTTCACAGCTACCGATTCCTTTCCTTCCTTCCACTCCAGAGGCTGCTGCCCTAGCTCTTTGCCTGATTCATTCCTTCCTGTTGAGGGGGTTTCAGGAGAAATGCCACATCCTCAGGGAAGTTTGACCAGCACCACGACACCAGGTAGAGTAGCCTTAATAGGCCCTAGGGCCCTTTTTAGATCCTTGGAAGCTATGGCCCTTGTAATTACATACTAGTTTGGCGTGGAGCATAGCTGAGATGAAATCCTGTAGGTAAGTAACATAGTCAGGTTGAAATTCCTAGCTGTGTGCCTGTGAACACATTAGCTACCCTCTCTGAGCCTCAGTTTTCTCATGGATAAAATGAGAATAAATAACAGTAATAGCTACTTCCTGGGGGTTCTTTTGAGAATTAAATGGACTCTGTGTGTGTGTGTGTGTGTGTGTGTGTGTGTATTTACGGAGGTAGGCTGGTCCCACGTCTTGTTTCTCTTTTGCTCTGTCCCCAGCTCTAGCTCAGGGCCAGATGTTTAGTAGAAGCTCAATGGATGTTCATGAAAAAATGAGTGAATGAATGAATGAATGAATGACAAGACTCAGGAGGCTAGTGGCTTTCCTACGGTGGCACAGCCAGGATCAAAGCCCACTCTCCTGTGGGATTGCCAGGATGTGGAAGGGAAAAGGCAAAGGGGAAGGGGGTAAGAAGGAGAATCGAGAGGGAAAGTGTGCAAAGGACATGCACATGTGTGGGATGCCACGATGAAATCCTTACTATCTACAGCTTATTACACACCACTTTAAAAAGTCTCCCTAATTCCCCACCCCTGCTCTTTCAGTAAGCCACACAGCCCCTAAAAACCACTTGATGCAGTGCCGGTGAGGGTGGAGCCCTCCTCATTTGACCGTCCCATGGCAGCTTGTTTCTATGGGTTTAAAATAATCACCATTCCCTCATTGATCAATCCATGCTCATTTTTGAAAAATTGGAGTCATTCTCCTTTTCATTCTTGAGATGACCGGCTTTCAGTCTGTTGAAAGAAAATGTATTCCTTTCCTAATAAACTTTACTGTCACTTTCACAAGAAAGGAAAAAAAAAAGAAAGAAGCGGGGGGCCAGGGGTTCACGCCTGTAATCCTAGTTATTCAGGAGGCAGAGATCAGGAGGATCATAGTTCGAAACCAACCCCAGGCAAATAGTTCATGAGACTCTATCTCGAAAATATCTATCACACAAAATAGGGCGGCTGGTGGAGTGGCTCAAGTGGTAGAATGCTGCCTAGCAAGTGTGAGGTCCTGCGTTCAAATCCAAGTGCCACAAAAAAAAATGGGAAAGAGAGAAGTTACCCATAATCCTCCCACTCAGAGATGCCTATCCATACCATTTTGGCATTTATCCTCCCAGTCGTTTTCTCGTTCTTTAAATAAATGTAATTATACTTTTATACTCTTTGGTCCTTGTACAGACAGCGCATAAATGAAGCAAAAACAAAGCACCATCTCAGCATTTGTTGGTATTTGTGCATCTTGCACAATGATTTTTTTCTGTTATGCCACAGATAAATGCCTGACACCCCAAGTATTGAGATTCTGGGGGATCTTGGGGAGACACTGCGGCATGGGTGTCTGAGACGCCTAAATAGCAGCTGACCCCTCAGGCAGACAGAGGTGCAGAAAGTACTCATAAAACATCCAGAAGCAGAGCCCCTGGGAAATCATGAATGTTTTTCATAACTAAAACCTTTTTTCTTACTACAAAGCAATCTAAGCTCACTGAAGAAAAAGTATAAAATCATGATAAACAAGAAGAAATTAAAAATGCCTGCCTGGGCCACAGTTCACCATTGCTAATCCTTTGTTTTGTTTTTGTTTTTCTCCATCTTTTTCTTGTGTATATTGGCTCAGCTACATACTCAGAGTCATAGTTAAATGTCAGAACTTAATGAGATTATATGATACTCGTTGTTGACAATTTGCTTTGTTTTTTCACTTAAAGTAGGTTGGGAACTCCTTTCTATGACAAAAACAAAAACCAAACAAACAAAAAACTATTTCATTCAGTGCCCTTTTAAATAACAACTTGGTTTTCCATTTCGTGGATGACCTACACTCATCCATAGTTTGGGACATTTTTGCAAAATCCCACACACAGGGCCCTGAAGGTTTGGGGGGAGTTTTGTCTTCATCCAAAGAGTACTTGGGAGCCACTAAAGTGTGGTAGCAATTTTGTGATTTTGTTAGCGATCACATCTTTCCAGCTAAATATTTACAACTTCCCTCATTCATGTCCACGAACAAATTTCTCCATGGCAGGGTCAACCTTCAGTGATGCCTTTTGTTGTTGCCAACAAAAGTTACCGCCAGTTTGCAGTTCACTCACCTTCAAGAGCCTGTGCATTCCTTTGCTCCCTAGTCTAGCTCTTTGTTGGATGGTACATTTGTTTTTAAATTGTTGTTAAGGAAACTTGAAATGCTTCTTAACACATTCTTGGAAATACCCAGGTTACTCAACTGCAGAATCAACCGCAGCTTTCATGCCCTATGAGTGGGTCACTTCCGGGCCACTCAGGAGGTGGGTCACCTCTCTGCTGCACCCCACCACCTTCAACTCATTCTTACAAACAGCCAAGATGTCCTGCAGAGTTGTGGGCGTGTGCACCATGAGGGACCATTCCTGCCTGTGGAGATGTCCCCTCTCCTCAGTGGGGAGGATGAGCAGGTTGTCTGAGTCAGTGAGTTTACAAGATTAACTCAAAAAGCAGAGATCTGAGTTAGAGCCACTAACACTGCCCTATGTGGTGTCACATACTTGCTTCTTCACAAATTCAGCAAACATCTTTTGAATGCTCTTGATGTGTGGCACTGTCCCCGTGCTTGGGATTTCAGAAACACACATTTTGATCATGTCACTCCCCTCTCTACCACCGTCATGGGCTCTCTGGAGCCTTGGGATGAAAACCAAAATCTGCCTAAACCTTCAAGACTCTGAGGTTTTGCTCCTGCCCACATTTCCAGCCTCATGTGTCTCACTTCCTCCCCAGTCCCCACGAGTTCCACCCTTTCTGGGGGCTCCAGCCCTTCACACATGCTGTTCTCTCTACCCCAAAACACACAGCAGCTTCTCTCCCTGCAAATTCCTTGCAGACTACCTTAAATGTCACTTCCTTAGAGATAAGGTCCCCTGACACCTTCCCCAAACCAAACTTACTCCCCATATTTTTTTTTTTTCTAGCACTGGGGTTTGAATTCAGGGCCTCACGCTTGCTAGACAGGCACTCATACCGCTTGAGCCACTCCCACCAGTCCTTTTTTGTGAGGGATTTTTTTGAGATAGGGTCGTGTGAACTATTTGTCCATGATCCTCCTGATCTCTGCCTCCTGAGTAGCCAGGATTACAGGCGTGAGTCACCAGTGCTTGGCTCCCATATTTTTTTTTCTCACTATTTTTCCCCAGCAGTGCCTGTCATTTTGCATTGAATTCAGTAAGCGGGCAGTCATTGCTCTCACAGAATAGGAGCCCCCGGCAAGCAGGGTCCTCATCTTCCTTGTTATGGCTGCCTTCCCAGCGGCCAGCACCTAGGAGAGAACATTAGCCACTTGTGGAGCTGTGGATGGATGAGTCTGCGTTTGTGCTGCTCAGAGTGTCAAGTCTTTAGGAGGTAAAAGCCACAGCAGCAAGACCAGAGCCCTGATTTCAGTCTGGAGCAGAGGAAGAAGGAAGCTTCTTGTGACCACTTGGTTTCTAGGTGACCTTCAGAGAGAATGAGCACAGAGATGCCCAGGTGAGCCACAAGGCCTGGCTTCCATCCCTGAATGTGTGTATCACAGGTGATTTCAGGTGGGGACAGGTGCTCAGCCTGGGGAGGCCAGCCAAGATGGTGCCTAGAAGGGTGTGAGATCTTAGAATCTCATGAAGAGTATTCACTAAGGATCCAGATTTCCTGAAGTCACACATTACTAGGTAGATTGTTTTTTTAATGAGGCAGAAAAAAAAATTCTATTCACTAGGAAAAGATAATTTGAAAGGTTGCACTTTATTATCTTTATAAACAGCTCTGAAATCTTATTCTAATATCCCTAAATTAAATTCCCCACAAATGCCTAGCTCCTCAATGAGCTTTTAACATCTTCACAGCTCCCCATTAATCATCAATTTCATATTTGCTGGAAAGTCAGGATTTTACCCCTCTGAAAATTACACTTTCACCGTCTACACTGGGAAGGAAAAGCGAAAAAGATAAACCCAGGCTCCTCTCAGTCCTCACAATTCACATGAAGCACACTGAAAGCAGTCTCAGAGGGATGCAGCAGGTGGCTCAAGGGGTAGAGCATCGGCCTCGCAAGCCTGAGGCCTGAGTTCAAACCCCTCTACCATCAGTTTTTTAAAAATGGCAGTCTTAAAGGAGAAAAGGCCCATTGCCCAATATTGGCAAATGAGACAGACAGTGGTGCCTATTGACAGAGCAGCTGTTGTGTGGGGCAGCTGCTCTGCACTGTCCAGACTGGCAGAGGCTTCGTGACACGTAGGCCTTTGTGGGAGACAGGGATGTTTTCCAGAGAGCGGTGGCTCTTACAGCCAGCCACCTCACTGGGCGATCACAGCTGTCCAAGATGGACAGCAACAGTCATTCTTTTCTTTTCCTTTTTTGGTAGTACTGGGTTTAGACTCAAGGCCTTGAGCTTGCTAGCAATCACTCTACCACTTGAGCCGTGCTGCCAACCCTTTTGCTTTGGTTTATTTTTCAAATAGGGTCTTATGCTTTGCTCAGGTCCAGCCTGGAATCGAGACCCCTCCACCTCTGCCTCCTAGAAGCTGAAATTACAAGTGTGAGCTACCACACCTAGCCAAGTAATCATATCCTTGAGATTCTGTCTCCTTCATCCTGACAGCTTACTCTCTTTGGGATAGGAGACCCCATCTTCAGAGAATG